GCAACAGTCCAGAAAGGGGACATTTTAAATTTCCTTTCTCTGTAGAAAAGGTATAGTCGTAGCTATTTTGAGACATACTTGCAAAAGCCTTTGGTCGCATATATTAGCAGTTCACTTCCCTTTCCTCTCCTGGAACATTATAGCCTTTGTTTGTCTATGGTCCTTTCTTAGAACCTGTTAGCTTATAAAGATGACCTCGAATTCTGCACAAATAAATGCAGTGTTTACAATGTGCAACTACCACATCAAATTTTATTATTGTATCAAGAGCTTAATTAAGCACTTTACAAGCTTTAGTATAATGATGCTCATGCAGTGGTGTAGCTACAAGCTGCCTATGTCAACCATCGCTTCTTTTTTTTTGTTTTTTTTTTTTTACGTAATTCCTCATCCATTATATTCACGCAATTTGTCACGACGCTTCCCTTCCCGCTCCCCACGCCCACAGTTGTCCTTTCCCCCTCCTTTATTCTGAATGGTTGAGAGGGTACAAAGCATATACATGTTAGCACTAAGGAAATCAGCTCTAGCCTTGAAGAAGACAAGTCCGTTTGTCAGAGCGTTGGCTTGAGCACGCCTCTGTTTACGAATTTTTTCATTCCTCCTTGCTGTTTTTTGGATGACCAAGGTAAAATAGGCACAAAATTTTTGTGCCTTTTACCTTGGTTGGCATTTTCCTTATTTTGCAATTTTTTTTCCGACCAGACGGCATTCCGTCAGACTCTTGACTATAAACAACCTTTTCAGGTCAGTTAACATAGAGTTTAGACTCAGTCCATTAGTATTGATGGAAAACAGTTTCATGTCCTTTTTCCATGACAGTTAACACTCCATGTTCACTCATTCTTGTCAGTTACATCTGTTAACGCTTTTTCTGAAACTTTTCTGCACAACTGTGTTTGTGTGTATTATTTCATGAAGTATTTCATGGTTCATTTCCTTAACGTGCAGTTTTCCATTGTGTAGTATTATATGAACACATCACACAAATATATAAATTTATTATACCTGTTCCTACCGCCTCCCTTCGACCACTCATTATACATTGGTCTACAGGTTACAATGTTCTAAAACAAGTTAGCGAAATACAAATGCTCAAAACATTTTTAGAACTAGATTCCAAGGCCTCAATGAGGATAGTCTCCATGAAATACTAAACACTGATTTGTTAACTGTGCCACGTGATTCATTGTCACATAAAGATTCCATACTGTTCCTGGATGTCCTTCAGTAAACTTTGGGGAACGAATTTTCCACCCATTACCACACTATGCGATACTTATTGCCATTACAATGTGCCATTGATTTATTATTCTATATGGGAATGCCCAGCTAATGAAAAATATGTATGCAGGACCATAAAATAATACAGACTGTTTTTTCATGAATGCATTCCACTTAAATGACTATTCATCTAAAATATACTTATAACCGTGAGATTACAACAGATTGATACCCAATCTTGAGGTGCTTATTCTTATCAGCCTTATAAAGGGATATGAGAGTAAAAAAATGTCATTTTGCAAAATTAAAAATTTTTTTATTTTAAATTGTTTTCACAAGCTTAATGTCTCTACTTTCATTACCAAGAAATCAAGGTTGTCTTTAAATTTTAATTACGCTAAAATTGCCTTCAAAGAGCACAAGGTGGTGACCCATTGGTGACCCGGAGAACACGCCCTTCGCCCAGCGGCCCGCTGCCATGTTCCCGCAACTCTGCCCGCCAATGCCGCCAAGTGTACGGTGGTTAGTCGGGTACGCGACTAGTGGTGGAACATTGCGTCGGATAGGCCGAGTAGGCGCTTGCGCCGTCTTCAGGGCTATGACTGCAACTCGTGGCTGCGTAGCAGGGCGGCTCAAAAGTTGCCGCAATGTGTGACGCCGAGCACGTTGTCGTCGCCGACGTAGGGTAATGGGTGGTAGACACGTATGCGGTACGAGCGTCGTCGCGGTTGTGACACATGAGCTGGCGTTGTGGACACACGGCTGATTGTTGCCGTCCGGAGGCAAAGGCTCCGGGGAATGGTGGTGGTGGAACCCAGTCAGCGTGGGCTCGCCCGGAGTATTGGACGGGACACCTGTGCTCGTGTAATGACCTCCGGTAGCCCGCACACGAGGGTTGGCGAGCAGGTCTGCATAATTGATGGCTGCCTCTAGCCAACACCCCCTAGATTGCTCCACCGCAGGTGTGGTATGCCTGGTGAGCCCTGTCTGAAGCAGCAACGACCACCATCGTCCTCGCAGTTTCCCGCAGCTGAAGTTAAAGCCACCAGCCATCAACCACGGCCAAGCTTCCAAGACGCTGCGACTATAACTGACGCGCTTGAAGACGATGTGCCCGGTCCGCTTCAGACAGGGCTCACCAGGCATACCACGCCTGCGGTGGAGCAATCTAGGGGGTGTTGGCTAGAGGCAGCCATCAATTATGCAGACCTGCACGCCAACCCTCGTGTGCGGGCTACCGGAGGTCATTACACGAGCACAGGTGTCCCGTCCAATACTCCGGGCGAGCCCACGCTGACTGGGTTCCACCACCACCATTCCCCGGAGCCTTTGCCTCCGGATGGCAACAATCAGCCGTGTGTCCACAATGCCAGCTCATGTGTCACAACCGCGACGACGCTCGTTCTGCATACGTATAAATACGAATAAAGCTAAAGAGTTCATTGTCTAGTTCCCTGAAAATAGTTCCCTGGCTACTTGACATTGCATTTCATAGAGGAGTTCACCGAAGCCAGAGGCTCAAAAGCTCTAACGAAAGAAACCATGTTCAAAAACACATAATTTCCATACAAATGAGCTTTCATTTTTAGTTTAAAATGCATTTTTCTTGATAAGCAATTTTGGGCAACTTTCTAAGTTTGATGTTATGTTTTTGGTAAGTCTGATAGCCAAAACTAGATAAAATTTTTGCCACATAATTCTGAGCATGCAAAGAGTGTAATTATCTCCTCTAAAGTTCGATATCATTTGTATAATTATAAACTTGCAGTAAGCTATTTGTATGTGCTGAGCATTTTACACTTTACAAGTTATAATTTTTCTTGTTTATTTAAATGTATTATACACACTTACCTGATAGTTAGTTGAAGTCTACAGTTAATGTGGAGTAATATGAGTAATTTTTTACTCAGAATTTTAAAAGTTTAATGGCAAAAAAGTATGTCTAAAACGAAGTATGTTTTACACATTGTCATGGACTAAAGATTAATTTTTGTTTTGTTTTTTTTTTTTCGAATCACATTTCCCTTGAAAGAATTCTTCCAGGGAACTTGAACAACAGTGCACTTTATAGTGATCCTTCTCCACTGTTAGTAAATTCAGTAGGTGACTACATCAATGCACAACACTCTTTGCAATAGCAGCTCGTTTGTAAAGTTATTCCACTAGTTCACCACAGATCTGCAACAAACATCATGAGACAAAAAAATGCAACTGTCATCTAGTAGTTTAAGCACTATATTCGCAAACACTTTTCTTTTAAACAAAATGATGCCATTCCTAAAAAAAGAAAACAATACATAGCTATATATTGGTAGCTTCAGCGACTAGAGCTGTGCGAATAGCAAAATCTTGGGTGTGAAGCGAATTTGAATACTGAACTGTTAGTGCGAATCGAACATTTTTCTAATATTTATAGGGTACTTCAAAGCAAAATTGCAGAAAGAAAGTTGAAGAGGATTCCCAAGAATATTGCTATTGTAAGTAATGTGCACCGAGACGGCGCTTTTACCGCCGGGGGTAATGCTACGTAGCTGACATATCAGCGGTCAGAAGACGACAACGAGGAAGTAGTCTGTTGGTTGTGCGTGCTGTCCTCCATCTTAGTCGATGCTACACGCATCAGTTTCAATACAGATTCTAAATAGACACGCCTTGTGTCATTTTTACGTAACATCTTTGTAGCAATAGTCTCATGAGATAGCAACATGATTTGGTTGGGTTCACGAAGAGCTGGCGGGGTGGTGCTTAGTTGTCCTATTAAAACTGGGGCATCGCAAAGACCGAACTATATTTGTGTACAGAATTTGGGTTAACAAAACTCTTCTTAACAACACATTGCATGTGAAAGAAACAGATGCTATTCCCTCAGCCTCTCCCTCCTCTTTCAACTTCTGTGGAAACACAACTGAGGTGGCGGACAAGGGCACGCTCCCTTTGAGTCCGGAGTTCCGAATCTGCATCCCAGACGCCAATACATAGAACATCCTGTGTAAACTTTTTCAGCAATCACTTGATCCATCAGTTCTTCCAAAGGTGTGGAAGAATGGGAAGGTTATTTCAATTCACAAGTCTGGCAGCAAAACATCTCTTAACTATCGCCCCATTTCTTTAACTAGCACATGTTGTAAAATGTTTGAGCACATTATAGTCACCAACCTTGTCAGTTTTCTTGAATAAAACTCTTCACTTCAGCACAACATGGATTTAATCTTAGCTATCACCCCATTTCTTTAACTAGAAAATGTTGTAAAATGTTTGAGCACATTATACTCACCAACCTTGTCAGTTTTCTTGAATCAAACTCCTCTTCTTTTCAGCACAACATGGATTTAATAAACATTATACAAGTGAAACGCAGCCCATATCCTTTACTCATGCTCTACATCAAGTTCTAGACCGATCATCACTCATCGATTGCATGTTTTTAGATTTTTTAAGGCATTTGACAAGGTATGCCATAAATTACTGCTGCCTAAACTAAACAATCTTAATATGGACAATAATTTACTGAAATGGATTGAATGATTTCTGCTGCTAAACCGCTCACAATTTGTTCCCTTTAATGGCTCTAACTCTGCATTTACAGATATATATTCAGGTATTCCTCAAGGCTCAGTCCTTGGGCCTTTATTATTTTTAATCTATATTAATGATCTTTCCAAACTCTAACATTCTTCTATTCGCAGACTGTGTTTTCAGAGAGATGACAAATACTAACGATTCTTCCTCAATTAATGAACAAATGGCTAATACAGTGAAATATCCCCTTCAGGCGCAGCGTCCACATTTGTGGACGCCAACTTCACAGCTCAATATCTCGAAATTTACTTTGAATCTCGCGCGCAACCAGTGCTCTCTCTATCACTACATGTTGCTGCAGCGACCCGTGGCGCCATCTGCCGCAGCTGACACAAAATAACTACAAAAACAACTCTCAAAGATGGACGCCTCCACGTTTTACGGCGGCGCACGTAAGTGGCTCTCACTTTTCAAGCCCTTGCTATGTTTCATTCGAGGTGGCATGAAATTATGCACTTGTCAGTAAGAGCTAAGAGATACCTCATGCCAATAAACAAGACTTTTGCAACTAGAAACTATTTATAACGTCAAAAAGGGTGCGTAAAATACCGCGTCCACGATCGTGGACATTGCGCCTTAGTGCTGCCTTTGTTGCAGGGCAGCCATTTCGCACCGTGTGCGCAGATATGATGGTTATGTGTGATTTTTTGTCTCCAGGACTTGAAGATCATGCTTCAAAACGTCAGAAAGTTGATGATGCGACAGCAGAAGAAATCCTCATGAGAATATCAAATGGAGATATCTCAGATGGCGACTTTTCAGATGACGAATTGGAAGCAGAAAATGAAGAAAACATAGTAAGTTTGCTCGAGATTGTGAGACATTATTTTGTGTTCTCGGGAAACATATGGCACCAAACTGTCTAAAGGTACTTTGACCCTAATTTACGCTGTTTGTTTCAGCCTGCCAATGGTCAGGTGACCGCATCCACGACCACAGCTGCACTGCCTGCACGACCAGACGCCACGGTCAGCTCGAACGCACCTGCGGCATCTACGAAGGCTGAGTTCAAATGGGTGAAGAAAGATTTTGCTCCAAGTGATGTTGACTGCCACTACAATCCTGAAGTAGCCTCGACATGCCAGCAGCCACTTGTGTATTTTAGCAAGTATTTCACCGAACAGATATTTGAAGACCTTGCTGAATTCACAAACAGGTATGTCCTGCAAAGAGACGGTGCCGTATTAGCCACTACAAAAGAAGAGATCAAAATATTTTTTGGAATGCTCATGCTGATGGGTGTTCTGAAATACCCACGCGTCAGAATGTATTGGCAAACTGCAACGAGGATTCCCGCAATAGCCGATTCGATGGGCGTGAAGCGATTCTTCAAAATCAGAGGCGCTCTCCACATAAGCGACGCTAATGAAGAACGGGACCCGAACAGCCAAGACAAATTTTGGAAAGTTAGGCCGTTGCTAGAAGCTGTCAGAAGCCGCTGCTTACAGCTTGTTCCCTTGGAACAGAATAGCATCGATGAACAGATGGTGCCGTTCACAGGACGCATTGCTGCAAAGCAATTTGTGAAAGGAAAACCGAACCCAGAAGGCGTGAAGGTTTTTGTACGCTGCAGTTTTGACGGTCTTGCACATGACTTTGAGTTTTACCAAGGGAAGGGAACGGGAGTGAGCAAAGAACATGCACATCTTGGCCTTGGTGGCTCCGTCGTAATGCGCCTTGTTGAAAGCCTCCCGAAGGCACAGAACATCAAGTGCTACATGGACAATTATTTTACGTCCGTGAAGCTCTTTCTTGAGTTAAAAAAGATCGGCATTTTGGCTAGTGGCACAATTAGGGGAAACCGCTTGGCAGGATGCGTCATGAAAACAGACAAGGAAATGAAGAAAGAAGGACGGGGAAGCTATGATGAGCGGGTTTCCCAGAACGACGAAGTTGTCCTTGTTCGTTGGCAAGACAACGGGACCGTCAACATGGCTTCTACCCACCTTGGAGTTGGAAATATTGGCACCGTGAGAAGATGGAGCGAATCCAAAAGGTCCACGTTGACATTGACTGTCCAGAGGTAGTCCTGGACTACAACAAATACATGGGTGGAGTAGACAAACTAGACTTCATCATGTCCCTCTACCCAATGCGGACGCGAACGAAAAGTGGCCTGTGAGAGTGATTTCCCATTTTGCATCTTTTGCGCTCTCCAACAGTTGGCTTGAATACTTAAGGGATGCCAATAAAGCAGGGCTACTAAGAAAAGAGACACTGGACATGATGGCGTTCCAAACAGACGTCGCGAATTGCCTGCTGAACAGCAATAAGCCACAAAAGAAGCGTGGACGTCCGAGCAATGACAACTCCCGAACAGTGAAAAAGAAGGTACCCAATGCTTCACCACTACCAGTCAGCACTGTTCGCTATGATGGGATTAATCATTGGCCGCAGCAAGTAAACATGGCTAACGCACAACGCTGCCGGAGAGAGGAATGCACATCCAAAAGCCGTGTCCGCTGCAGGAAATGCAACATTTTCCTTTGTCTGACATCTCAGAACGACTGTTTTATTTGTTTCATACCAAATAGACTCTTTCTGATTATTTTTGCGGAAAAGACTTCCTAAGCAGTGTTCCTGCAATGATTATTTGCGAGCCTCCGAAATAAAAGCGTTTGTTTTCTTCTTCTCCACCGTTCATGGGTATTGCAACAAGGAAAGCGAGATGTAAAATATGTATTTACTAGAGCCTATACAACAGGCAGTATGGCGAAAAACCCACGCACAAGCCATGGCGCACCTTCGTCGTCTTCCTTTCCCTGCGTCTTCGTGCGCGCGCTTGGGTAACGGTCACGTGACAATATGACTGCTTTGAGGCGCAATGTCCACATATGTGGACGCCATTGAAAAATTGAACCAATGAATTTTTTTCTGAATTTCTTGTGGATTCCTTCTTTAATAGCGTTATGTATTCATAATCTGAACAAAATTTTTTTTTCGCTACGTCAGATTTAATTCGCGCCTGAAGGGGTTATAAATAATTGTAAAGGCATGCCCATTTCTGGAAAATCTTCCTGCCCACCACCTTACTACATTGATAACATTAATTTAGAATCACTGACTTCATATAAATACCTCGGCATGTACATCACAGCAAAGCTCAACTGGTCTGTCCACTCATATCGCGTACTTAATTAACAAAGCTAATCACATGTTAGGTTACCTTTGTCAAAATTTTATCATGTTCCTCCTTCCTTGAAACTTCTTCTTTATAAAACACTAATTCGATTAAAACTGGAGTTGGCTACACCGGTGTGAGATCCCACCCAAGCTAACTTAATTTCTGCTTTAAAAATGGTTCAGAATCACTCCACACCTTTCATTTACTCTAATTACAGCCACGCCGCCAGTATAACTTCCATGAAATCAGACCTTTCCCTACCGTCATTATCGTCGCGCAGAAAGGTGTCATGCATTGCCTTGTTCCATACAAAGTATCATCACTCTACAAGATTGCCTCATCCTTACGTATCCTATCACACAGACCATCGTCATAAAGTCGGACTCGCTTCATGTAATACAGCGCACTTTTATCATTAATTTCTGCCCCGAACCTCTCCTAATTGGAATGACCTTTTCGCGGACGTTGTGAACATTTTTCATCATGAACGGTTCCGTAATTCTATAGCTAATATTATATACTCAGGCTTTTTCTAAACTCACGAGAAGTTCACATTTTGCTCCTTTGTTTCATATGCGTTTTTTATTTTATTGTATTTTTTGTTTCCTTTTTCTTGCTCTTTTTTGTGTGTCAAAGTGCCGCTACCACTCCCCTTCTGCAATGCCTCTGGTTCTGAGGGGTAGAATAAAATGAAATCTGAAATTTTGGGTGCTAAAATCTTTGGGGTCGATTTTTAAGAATTTCTGACCTAATTTTATGTACAAAACAGCATTAACTGCCCCCACCTCTGCCTCATCTATCATCTCCATGTTCAAACAAACGTTTTCTTGAGTCAATACATTTGCAGCGATAACAGAGCCTGAAAGGCAGCATTGCTGCAATAACAGGATGGTGATAGGGTGCATCATGTTGAAAACCTGAGGTGGCCACTTTTAATCAGATGACTTTATTTGTCTTCATAAATAAACTTCTAATGTGAACTGAATAGCAAACAATATAAAAAAAATATTCGAAATTTCGAATATTCGCAACCCCGATAAGCAACCATCCAGATAGCAATCATGCTTCTTTCTTGCATAATTGATTTATATTACCAAATTTGTGCAGATCCCCAAATTAAGGCTAGCCCGTCTTGAAGGGACATTAAAACAGCTTCCTAGATAACACAATGACTTTACTACTGGACTAGGTTACCTCACAAATGTCCTCTTAAAAAAAAAAATGTTCTGAACACCTTCAAGTACATTTAGAATTTCAGGCACTTCAGGAGTAAACGAGCACATCCCCAACAATTCCTATGAATCCGGGATCGACCGGATGTAATCCTTTTGCAGAAAACGAATGACCCGGTCAAGCTGGCGTGGTACAAAACTATAGATGAGGCTGTGAATGCAGGAGCATCGCCAGTCGCTGCAACGCTAGTGCGGGGCAACCTCATTGTGGCACAACGCGAACTTACAAACGTTAGCATACCACACGTACTCATAGAGCTCATTCCATCGAAAAGGCGTGGCTCTGGCATGTTTATACTGAATGTATATAGCCAACTTAAAGCCAAACATAGTTTTAGCACGTTACTGCGAAAGGTGCCTTGCTCATCACGGGTGACTTCAACGTGCCCCATGCGGCTTGGGGGTACAGATACGAAACACCAAAGGGTAAGCGCCTTTGGGACGATGAGCAGAATGAGGGGCTTGAGCTTATAACAGACCCTTCTGCACCTACGCACAGGGGCAACAGCGTATGTGCGTATACTTCACCCGACCTCACGTTTATTAAGAGCGTCGCTAGCGCATAATGGTAAAATAAGCAGGGGGACCTGGGTAGTGATCACTCAGTGATCGAGATCCAGGTCGACGTTGGACCTCACCACCACCTTTATCGGTACGCCGCCAAGGGCAAGCATCACAGGCTAGTGGATTGGGACACATTTCGCAAAGCCCGGAAAGAGCAGAAACGTGGCTATCGAGGATATTGAGTGCTGGACCGCGACGCTCAGGGGCTATGTAAAAAGGGCAACGCGGGAAGCTCCGCCGGAAGCAGAGCTAAAAGTAATAGACAGCAAACTCCTACACATGTGGGAAGCCAAACGCAGCTTGCAAGACAGGTGGAAGCGACAACGCCACAATAGAACGCTATGCAGACGCATTGCACGGCTAAGAAGGGATATATATAGAAGAGCATGCCTTACAAGTATGCAAAGCACAATGGGAGGAGACGTGTAACGGCATGGAGAACCAGCTGGGCTTCACCAAGACGTGGCATCTTCTTCGGCATCTCTTGGATCCGGAGGAGACCAAAACAGCGCATGCACATAAGCTAAGCAAGTTACTGCTCAAGTACGAAGGCACGTCCGCGAAATTTTAGGATCACGTGCGTAGCCGTTACTTCACGTCCTCAAGCCCCATCCCGCACCCGGCATACGGACAGGATAGTGAAAGTAACGCGGAGCTAGAAGAGGACTTCGGTGTGGCAGAAGTGAGGGCAGTACTGCACAAGCTCATTACGAAATCGGCACCAGGCCCAGAGGGGATAACAAACAAAACACTGCATAACTTGGGCGATGACTCGATAGATAAATTGACAGCTTACATGAATGAGTGCTGAAGAGCGGGCGCCATACCGAGCTCGTGGAAAACTGTGCGCATAATTATGATCCCCAAACTGGGCAAAAGGGTAGAGATTGACAATCTTCGACCGATATCGCTGACTTCCTGCGTTGGTAAGGTAATGGAAAACGTGGTTCTCGCTCGTCTTACCAACTACCTCGAGGACCGAAACATGCTCCCGCACACGATGCTCGGGTTCCGTCGTAACCTTTCCACGCAGGACGTTATGCTTCAACTCAAATATGATATCGTAGACAATACCACACGATCTACAAAAGCAATACTCGGGCTCGACCTCAAGAAAGTGTTTGTCAACATTAAACACGTTGCAATACTTGAAAGCACACGAGGGTTGGCACTGGGCGAAAGAACGTACCACTACGCGCGGGATTTCCTTACAGGTCGCCAGGCCCGCTTAGTAATCGGCGAACTAGAATCGCAAGATATAGACATGGATTGCATGGGCACGCTTCAGGGCTCCCTAATTTTGCCCATGCTTTTTAACCTCGTCCTTGTCGGGTTACCGCTAAAATTGGCTGAGATAGAAGGCCTCCACCACAGCTTATACGCCGATAATATCACCCTCTAGTTTGCCGAGGAGAATAATGAACATATCAAGCAAACGTTGCAGGAGGCGGTCAACATGGTACAGGACTACCTTCGCGACATGGGCCTCGAATATTCCCCGGCTAAGTCGGAGCTCCTTCTCTACAAACCCACATGCAGGGGCCGTACACCCAAGGACGCTGATTCTTCCAGCGAGCATGCGGACGGAGATATTAAAGTAGAAACATCGGATGGCACCGTCATCCCACAAGTTAACAACATTTGAGTACTGGGCTGGCACCTGTCGGCTAATGGCCACATCGGTGAAACCATACATAGAGACGGTGCTGTCAATGGAACGCTCTGGTTACTGCAATGAATAACAAATCACCATAGCGGAATAAAAGAAAGCAATACCATCCGCTTCGTGCATGCTTTCGTAATGAGCCACATAACGTACGTCGCCTCCTACCTTAAGTGGCAGGCAATTGAACGAACCAAGCTAGACTGCCTCATACGCAAGGCGTACAAACTTGCAATAGGCTTACCAATATATACTAGCACAAAAAAATTTCTCGAGCTGCGGTTGTACATTACCCTAGATGAACTAATCGAAGCGCACAACATCGCCCAGTACGAACGCTTGGCGAGAACCAGAACCAGCCAACACATCCTTGAGAGACTGGGCATAAACTACCATACCCAGCGTGGCGAAAAGGCTGGAATACCAAGACATATTTGTGAGCGCATCGTCGTTCTGCCGTTGCCCAGGAATATGCATCCCACTCATCACATCGGTCGGCGCAACAGGTGCGGGCAAGATCTGGAAAAGAAATTCGGCAACAGTAAAGACACTGTTTACGTAGATGCGGCCCATTACGAGTGCCAAATGTGGTTTCGCCGTAACGATCACGAATTACGCAGGAACTTGCATCGCAAGCGCTAAATACGCACAAAAAAAAAACGGAGGTGGCCGAAGAAGCGGAGATAGCCCTTGCAATAGCTACCGCGGACGCCGAAGTGATAATTGGAGACTCTCAGGTGGCCCTACGCAACTACGCCAGCGGCCAGATCTACCCCGAAGCAGCACACATTCTCAAAATTCACGAAGGCAATATTTGCCACAAAAACGAGTTTCCTCTATGGACCCCCGCTCACACAGATCCTCCCCTCACGGGCAACGCGACTGCCCACGGCGCCACTCGAGGCCTTGCACACTAAGCTGTGGCGCCTGCCAGCAGCCCCGATGTCTCGCAGACATCGAGAACAGTGCTGGAGTGGAAGTGGGGGTATCGCATGACAACTTTCAGAGACATCACCCAACACTATAGACCGAACAGATGCAAATATCCACCACCACACGAAAAACTAAACAAGAAACAGGAGGTTGCCTGGAGAGAATTGCAGACTTACACGTACTCGAACCCAGTGATCCTGCGCCTCTGTTACCCCGACATTTATACATCCGACGACTGTAAAGCATGTGGAGCAAGAGCGACGCTGCAGCACATGCTGTGGGTGTGTAGCAGTCCCCTATGAACCGGGTGGACATGGCATTCTTGAACCGCGCGGCGCGATGGGATACCAGACCAGACGGCACCACAGTGATCGGCGACCTTGCCGATCAACTGTGGGTAGTCCGGCATGCCCAGGAAGCCGCCCGTGTCCAAGGACTCGAGGCTGTCACCTAGGCTGGGGTGCTTGTGGCCCCACCCCGCTAAATACTGCTGGACAATGTCAATAAAGTTTTTACTCACTCACTGTGCATTGCCTTGGACATTTTCACCTTGGAATGTGCTGGCCTCTGCATCCAGTTCAGGCATGTGTAATGCTCTTTAAAAACGATTCACAGGGGTGGATAAATGGACATGTTGGTAGCGTTGAATTTTTAGTTAGTAGCACAACCGCCAATATAGCAAGCAATGAGGGGAACAAGAAAGTATGCTTTTAAAGATTATAGTCTTTCTTCAGGACCTTCGACGCAAAAATTTTGGTCTGTCTCTACATTTGTCTGTTTGTTCACTCTTAACGGCAACGGGTACTTGAAACGGCAGACCCCATCTTCAGCGCCCACCATTGTTGCTCAAGATTTATCGTTCATACTTGTGTGATTGTCAATTAAAAAGCAATCATTGCGCATATCTGAGGTACCATAACACGTTGTCGATGTTTTGTGTGTGTGCCTTTGTACTAGAGAAGGCACACACAAGTAATTCTAAGGACTGTAGTGTTTAACACGCTGCGCTGACAGTGCAACGCGGTGCTCAAAAAGGCAAGTGTTACCCAACACTTTGCTGAAACGACACGGTGGAGGCACCTAGCCGTCGCTCTGCGTTGTACACCTTATCGCTTCCGAGAATGGCACGCACCTTTCTCGGCAGGCGCGCATGCCTTCTCGTTTTTGAAGGTAACTGGCAGATGGCGCTCGCGTCTAACGTGCCTCGATGCACTCATTTGCCTCCGCTGCATGCTCGAGGCACTCTAACGCAGCGCCTCCAGAATACCATTTATCAATTTTCTTGCGCAGAACATCAAATAAATGTTTTGTTCACTCTCTCCATATGCAAGACTATCGTCTTTCGACGACATTTGCAGATAACATGCAGATACGGGGCCAATTTTTTCCCCATTTTCTTCTCTCACTTGCTGTGTCAGCCATTGCCCTACTACCTAAAGCTGCTCTATAAAAATGCTCAGGTACTTGCACTGCATCATGCTAGCACACAAAAGGAGGTACCTTAGCAACGGATACCAATCAGAGCACGTAAGTTACCAAGAAGACAGCAGGAGGGTTCGTGGCTGCCCATTGTAGCTATTGAATCTACACCATGGAGTGGAGTGGAGACAGAGCACGTTTGCTATATGCACAACAGGGTTGGAATGCATGCTCACTCTTGTGAAACCCACCCCAGCCTCCCAGCACAACTGTAACGACCTCTGTTCGAGACAAGTGTCCAACTCGGGCACCTAGTGTTTGAAAGAGCACACATGTTGTACGCCGAGAATCTCCATGCGACCATAGAAGAGAACAAAACACCTAGCTGATGGACATCAGTATGGACATGAGCAAAGATTATATACATGCCTATTCTTTTTTGTAAGGTCACAAACATGTATATATCTCAATTATACAGCTAAAACTTTGCAGGAATACTCTTATTGGAATGTTCTCATGATTAAGAAATCACCCAATCCCCAGAGCTTCTGCTTGCTGCGCAGCTAATAATGACACTGTAAAAGAGATAGCAAGTGAATACAGGCCGTTTTTGACGAGGTTGTAAGTTTTTTATTACATACATACAGTGCAATATACATGGTTTGCATGTCCACAGGAGCCTCTACAGATGGGCTATCTTTTCTTAGCATGTTGACTAAGTGTTTCAGGGCACTCTTAACACTTAAAAAATGTCATAGCAAGAGCAAAAAAAAGTTTTTTTATAACAAATGCCTATATAATCTACTACAACTTATTAAAAAATAAACAAGGCACGGACCAACTTGCTTCGCTTTTATATAAACAAGAAACCTGTAGGAGTCATGAAATATCATAAAACTTGAGCAACATCCTTCATTAAAACACTGGCAGTGTTTTTTTGCCTGTCAAGAATTAATGCACTATCCCCCTTATTACACATACAATAGTCCATCTAATCCTGGACCAATGTGCATAGAACACTTGCTACAATTCACAATTTCCTCCTGGTTGTCAGTTCGTTTAGTTATGCATACCATTACATTATATTACATTATAAACTCCAAAGGATCTCAAGTCACGGGATTGAATCCCGGCTGCGGCGGCTGCATTTTCGATGGAGGTGGAAATGTAGGCCCGTGTGCTCAGATTTGGGTGCATGTTAAAGAACCCCAGGTGGTCGAAACTTTCGGAGCCCTCCACTGGCGTCTCTCATAATCGTATGGTGGTTTTGGGACGTTAAACCCCACATATCAATCAATCTCAAGAACATCCAGTGGAAATGTTGCATAAACATGTTCTATCTTTCAAGCACATTGATTGATATGTGGGGTTTAACGTCCCAAAACCACCATATGATTATGAGAGACGCCGTAGTGGAGGGCTCCGGAAATTTTGACCACCTGGGGTTCTTTAACGTGCACCCAAATCTGAGCACACGGGCCTACAACATTTCCGCCTCCATCGGAAATGCAGCCGCCGCAGCCGGGATTCGATCCCGCGACCTGCGGGTCAGCAGCCGAGTACCTTAGCCACTAGACCACCGCGGCGGGGCATCTTTCAAGCACAAAAGAAGCTCTTGAAACATCATTAAAAAAAAAGCACATCATGACAGTATCTGCCCATCTGAATTGTGACACTCCCAATAATAAGTTTCAAAAGAACATACAATACTTGCCTGTTTTACAGAAAGCTGACAAAAGTGCTAAAATCTTTGATCAGTGCCAGTGTATTTTTTATTTAGCAATGTGGTGAATTCCCCGCCACATATATATTTGTATGTATGGCAGAACTGACTTACTCTGATGGCAATCGCTTACTCTGGACACTGTAGTCAACGATTTTAATTCTATGCTAGGCATCTTCGTTTCATCCTTGGCAAACAATCGGAAGTGTCACAATACCGAGTAGCGCACACACACACATTGGAATTTATAATCGCCATTTTCTTCCCTTTTAAATGATTTCTTCATAAAATGCCACATTCAAGCAATTTTTTACCTCATGAGAACTGTAACCGGCTAGCAATGTGCATGTTTAAACAAAATTACTCGACATGGGTTTCTATTTACATTAAAAAAATGTTCCTGTAATAGCCATAATATGGTGCTCAGGTTCCATATTTCTTTTTCCAGAGTGGTGGCGGCAGGCCTCCAAGTTGTTCTGGGGACACTTCTACAATGAGCATTTCATCTTGCACCTGATCGAAGAATGTCAGCCACTGTAAAAAAAAAATTTTTATTTTCAAGAGGTGGAGAGCCAGGGGGCGTTGGTCCAGTACAGATGTGTGAACACGTTGGGTCTTGTTTGCACGAGCGTTTTCACTCAAACTTTTTGCTTCAACTAGTAAGAACTGTGCATCATTTGACACCATTGGTTGCGTTGAACCAGTGGATACCTAACTCTTATCGGTGGGTGAAATTTCGGGACTTCCCCCCAAGACTTTTTGCGGAGACGCCTAGCACGTCTACGCGTTTCCCGGGCTCTGCAAGTGCGCCACAACGCTGCTTAATGCATTGTCAAGCTAGAGAATAGCCTCCAACCCCAGTGGGTCAATTGTAGATGGCACGGACATCAATTAGGAAGAAGCAAAGTGCCCAGACTGGATCACAGTCGCCAGCAAGAAGAAGAAACTTGCCGAGCGGGTGGCCTGTACCGCTAATGCGCCCACGTCAGTGACCGGAAGCGGTAAAGATGGCTCCCACACTGCCGCCTCACAGAACGTGTTGAGACACATTGTGCAAGCTTCCAGGATTCCAAACCTTCCCTGGGATCACTTTAAGACCATTCTCCCGCCACGAGGTCAGATGCATGTCAAGAAGACAGATCTTCTCATCTTCAAGTGCTCGCTCGCTAAAGTGGCTTCCCTAGCAGCGGAGCAGGTGTTCAACGAGACACCATGCACGACCCCGTTCTAAAACATTTTCATCGTTACCATGCTGTTCGAGACGAATGCACACCTACACCAGAGTCCAGGAGATAACTATGTGCAGAACTGTCGTAGGGTTAGCGGCTTACGTGGCTGCGTCGGACAGCACACGTAAAGGAGTGATCCACGGAATCAATGCAAATCTCAGCGAAGAAGAACTAACACAGATGATCGTCACCCAGAGGAACCCCGACGCGCCAGGGATTCGAAGAATCAAAAAGACGCAAACAGTGATTGCATTGTTTGATGAAAAAAAGGTCCACCAGCATGTCCTATGCGATGGGGTTCGATACCCCTGTTCCTTGTACCCCAGGCAAGTGGACATGTGCTATGATCTGGGTCACAGATCTAACGTTTGGCCAAGAGGTGAAGACCAAAATAAATGCTGCGGATGCGGTGTGCAGTCACCATCACCGGATCATCAATGGGATCTTACATGTGCCATCTGTGGCGACCCGTACCCCACGGTGGACCGCAAGTTCAGAAAGTGCTTCCAGGTGCCGTACGTCGTGCGCCACACAGTCAGAGATTTTTATGCTTAAAAAAGAAAACGAAGAGCTAAAAGAGGCATTACAAACGCTGAGGCCCGAGTTCGAGCTCTTTCGTAAATCATGTGAAACCCGTGAAGTCACCACACCCATGCCAATTCACGCAGGAGGGTCGCATAGGCGCAAGGCCGTTTTTTCCCCCCATGCCCCTGCAAACGAGCAAAGTGGGGCAATGCAAAGTGACACGTCTCCCGCTCAGGTCCCTGAGCAAAATGTACTAACGTCTTTAGGGGCGATTAAGGAATCTTTCAAACATGTAAGAGAAGCCTTAGCCAATCCATCTAGCACAATCAAGCGTATCGACGGGAGCGTGATTGATTGATTTGTGGGGTTTAACGTCCCAAAACCACCATTTGATTATGAGAGACGCCGTAGTGGAGGACTCCGGAAATTTTGACCACCTGGGGTTCTTTAACGTGCACCCAAATCTGAGTACACGGGCCTACAACATTTCCGCCTCCATCGGAAATGCAGCCACCACAGCCGGGATTTGATCCCGCGACCTGCGGGTCAGCAGCCGAGTACCTTAGCCACTTGACCACCGTGGCGGGGCTATCGACGGGAGCGTCTCCCGTGTGACACATCGAGTGGGAATCCTCGAATCTAAAATGAAAATGATTGACTTTAGCAAAACCAACACTGGTACAATACCAAAAGGCAAGATAGTGCAGCAGGATTTGGACAACACAAATTCGTTGCAGGCTATGCTCATTAAATAAAACTCAAAATGGCGGGCCACATCGGAAACATAAGTGGAATTGCATGAAGTTTCGTAAAGCTGCTCTACTGCAGCTCATCAAAGCCCAAACATAAAAGCCGCACATTCTGCTCTTGCAGGAAACTCTTAGCGAGAATGTTGTACACTCGGGCTACCGTACGTTTGGCCAGAAACGGGGAAATGGCAAATGGCAGAGGTATCACCACTTTGGTCAGAAAAGATACCTCCTTTGAGCAAGAATGTAAACATTCGACAGAAGTTTGTCTGGTTGGGTATGAAACTGAGAGATGATTTAGACTCCAACCAAAAAATTTGAAGAAACCCGACGTTTTGAAACCGACTTGGTTCCTTACTCAGGGGTGACTGCGGAGGATACGTAGCAGCGGCGTCTTCAAAGCACTCGCGGGGTGGATGATGACCCTCTCTCTCGCTCGTTTTTGCCGTGGAGCGCAGTCCATGTGTATACACTGGGGGAAGGGTTCTGAGAGAGCGGTTGATGTTATGGGCTGTCCTCTGTATGTGCCACGACTCGAGTAACAAGCTCCTTCTCCAGTCCGGCTCGCTTCAGTTCGGCTCGCCAAAAATTTTTTGGTTGGAGTCTAAATCATCTCTCCTTTGAGCAGCATGACGTGAAAATTTGCGACTCGGATAAGAGATGTGGCCTCGAGGCACAATTAATTGAAATCATTCCCAATGGCAAAATTTGAGGTAACTTATTTGTGTTTAACCTGTACAGCCCTCCTTCGGCTAATAAACATACCATCCACTCACTACTTAATAGGGTTGCAGCAGCTGCAAAATCGCACCTTTTAATAGTGGCTGGAGATTTCACCGCTCCCCCCTCAGCTTGAGGTTATGTAACGAGGACAAAGAAAGGGGTGAAACCTGACGCTTATCTCTGGCCCGCGTTTTACCACGAAGATCAGAAACTCGGTCGCCAGAGACACAATGCCTGATCTCAGCTTCACTAGAAATGCGGTGGTGAAGTGGTCCAACTTACAGGAAAACTTGGGAAGCGATACCAACATCATAGAACTCAGAATGAAGATAAGAGCACCCCCACTGAGAACCTATAAATACACAGACTGGGACCTTTTTAGGCAAATCAGAACTAAGGATAAGTCAGTGCACGAGACTTTAGGTGAACATTGTGTACAAATCCAGAAGGATGTCGAGAAGGTCACGAAGGAAATAATCACTGAATTCGATGCCCTGGGGATGAATGCAAGGTTAACACACCTCCTAGACACCAAACGCTCCCTTATAACAGATGGAAAAAACAAAGCCTAAACCGCAGGCTATGGAAAAAGATGGCCAAGCTTAATCAGCACATTGTGGAGCACTGCTCTGAACTTCATAAGCAGCAGTGGAGGGATGCCTGCTCGGCTGCGGATGGAACAATGCGCAAAGGAGGCAAATGAACCCTCTTCAAACACCTCCAAGACAATAGCCAATCATGTGGCAATCACAAACTAGACATCGACTAACTTACTAAAGGGGTAGTGCCACCATTTTTGTGGCTTGCGCATTCTTTGCTGCAAGCATTTCTTATAGCTCCAGGAAGCATGATACATGCACCAAAAGTAATTTAGCCATGCTAAATAAATTAATATCGCCTTTTTTATGTGGATCCTTTTCGGTTTTAGTTTCTGGGCACAGAATTGGGCTGTTACGTAGCTGTGTAGCTTGGTCACGTGGCCACACAAGGCTGTGACCTACGTCGTGCTGATTATCGTCTGCTCTCGCTGGATTTCTGACACACACGTGCCATACAAGCATCTGCAAAACAAACATGCAGCAGCCGCAATGCTTTGCCAGTATGTACGTGGCGGAGGTCACTTCCCTCACTACAATAGGCGTGCGCACGGAATGGGGGTAAGGGGGCGGCCACTCCCATAGTCACCTACGAAGAGGATTGTGCAAACACAGCCCCACACATTGACAAAATAGGAAGGGGGCGCAAAGTTAGGCCCATACTTTGACATAATAGGGAAGAGGTGGGCTGCCATGAGCCTTTTTTCCCCCTGAAGGGGAACCTGCGCAGCCTACACTCAATACAAATCTGACGTGACGTCAATGCAACTTTCGTTGACCTTCCTAGAGAGCTACGATGGGCTTCGCTCGGGAGAATGAGCATTTAGGTACACTTTGGAGGTAATTTAAAATATATTCTAAACGTTTTCTGTGTCCAACCGTTAATGCGGAGTGTCCTAGCATACAGAGGAAACCCACAAGAGGCTTGTTTTAGCCTCGAAATATGATGGCATCACCCCTTTAATAAGGAAAAAATGGCAGACATCTCAAAAGCCTCCCTACTTCGGACACTAGCCAACAAGTACCTTCCAATTAGCCAAAGCCCAACTTTTGTACGCCACCGGTATGAGGGTGTGCCTTCCCCAGAGCTAGATGCCACGTTCACGGAAGCCAAGATCAGGGAAGTGCTCCATAGCCCTAACGGTAGGTCTGCCCAGGTTCTAACAAAGTTACAAATCGGCTGTTGAGAAATTTGGATAATAAATCGATTCAAGCCTTAGTAAAGGAGATAAAGTATGGGAGAAGGGCGTCGTACCGGAAAGTTGGAAGAGGGCTACAGTGGTCTTAATCTCCAAGCCAGGTAATTTGCCCAGCTTTGATCACCTCCATCCGATATCTCTTACTTCTTGCCTTAGCAAAGTAGTGGAACAAGCAGTGCACCACGGGATATCATGCTGCAACACGCCGAATGACCGATTCCCATATATTATGGCAGGTTTCAGGCCCTCTCTTTCAACGCAGGATGTCATGTTCCTGCTCAAAACACAGATAATTGACTCTACAAGCAAAGATGTATAAGGGGTCCTCGAACTGGGCCTCTCCTAAGCCTTCGATAATGTCAGACATGACTATACTTTCAAGAAGATATCAGCTTTGAACCTGGGAGCAATTCTTCTCCTTCGTTGAATCCTTTTCTTGAGAGCAGGACAACGGCCATAAAATTGGGACAATCAGTCTTGGAGCCTTTCAATCTCAGACGAAGGGGTACTCCTCAAGGGGCAATTATCTCTCCTCTTCTATTCAACATAGCCATGCACAAGCTATCAGAAAGCCTTTCAAAAATTCCCAATGTAGGTCACGTTTTATATGCTGACGACATTACAGTCTGGTGTCCCAAAGGATCGGAGGCGGCGGTCGAACAAGCCCTACAGGAGGCTCTGGATGTCACAGTCTTTTCTGGAGGGTACGGGACTGACGCTTTCGTCGGAAAATTCAGAGCTCCTGCTGTACAGACAGGCTAGACGAGATGCCAGGAAACTCATCCCCCTCATCAGGTGCCCATTAGCATTTGTACCAAGGATGGTCACACAATTCCTAGAGTAGATTCTATTAAAATTCTGAGGCTTTTATTAGATTCTCAGGGCATTAACGCAATGACTATAGCTCATCTCACGAGAAAAACGGAGAGCACTCTGAGATTAATTATTCCCAACGCAATGACTATAGCTCATCTCACGACAAAAACGGAGAACATTCTGAGATTAATTATTCGGGTGTCCAACAAGAGGGGCGGCATAGGCGAGGATATCCTTCTTAGGGCTTACCACGTTTTCCCCTTGAGCCATATCAGATTGTTCGCAGATGATTGTATCCTGTACCAGCGAATAGACAGCTACCAGGATCATTTAAAACTAGATGATTCGCTAAAAAAGTTGAAACCTGGTGTCGAGAATGGCGAATGGAAATAAATACTAAGAAAACTGCCGCCATGTCAATTACAAAGAAAAAAGTAAGGGCAAATTTTTCGTATTCGCTGGGAAATGTCCCACATCGCAACGTCGCTGCCTGCAAATATCTAGGCATCTTGATATCGTCCGACTTAAATTGGACTGCGCATGTCGAACATATTACAAAGAAGGCACTTGGCAGGTTATTTTTTCTTAAGCGAACCCTTCGTCATTCGACACCCCGAACAAAACCTTTAGCGTATACCATGCTTATCCGCCCAATCCTCGAATATGCGAGGGTGGCCTGGTTCCCCTTCACAAACAAACATGTAGCCGCGCTTGAAAGAATACAACGTACAGCAGTCCGTTTTATCTATAACCGTTATAGGCGTACCGACTCACCTACTGCTCTTTTGATAAGAGCGGATCTGCCCACCCTGGCAAGCCGCGCCGAGCTTCATAGCCTGAGATTTTTGTATCTGGTGCTACACAACTTTTTGAAAATAAATCCGGCTAATTATGTTAAGGTGAACAGTAAGCGCCAAACACGAAATAAACATTGTCACACACTTGATGAGTATCCCTTCAAGAATAATGTTTTTGGCCACTCTTTTTTTCCGCAAGCCATACGCGCTTGAAATGCCCTGCCCCCCACCGTGTTGACACAGCCAACAGTTGATGAATTTGTTAATCGAGCGAGTGAATGTGCGCTGACTTTTTATTTAGACATGATTTCCTGAATCGATGATGTCACAAGTTTTAACTCTGTCTGTACAATTTTGTTGTGTACTTGTTTTTTTTTTTTCTTTTTGCTAGCCCCAGCATTTCATATGATGTTTATATTCATAAAGGCTCTTTGCCTATCACTACGGCGAATTTTGCACTATGTTTGAGATATTCGCTTCAAATTTCAAGTGCTTGCAACATGTATTCTTAGTCTGTGTATTGCTTGTTTTAACTATGTACAATGTGACACCACTCCTGTAATAATCCCATCACGGGATTGACAGTATTCTGAATAAATAAAAAAATAAAATATCATTTACATAATTGTGGCTCTCAATTGGACGAAGACCGAGAGGGATAAATTGGACACACTGATGCGTAAAAGTGTCAAGAAGGTGCTCGGTGTCCCAACCATGGCTAGCACAGAAAAGCTCATGTCGTTGGGAGAGCATAACACCACTTTTTAATTATTTGATGCACAAAGGTTGGCCCAACTCATTCAGTTATCAATCAATGACAGGGGAGAACCCCTCTTGGCCGCTTTAGTGAAGACCGTCTTGGTTGATGTAGCAGAACAGACTGCTGTAGCTCTGGCACTGCTGGACCCAAAACACACTACGGTCTACACGGACTCCTGAGCGGCTATTAGAGCGTTTGCGTCGGGATCGATAGCCACAGAGGCAGCCAGGATTCATCGCGGCAGACCCCTCTCCGACATTCTTCATCCCATAGCCTGGTCTCCAGCTCACATGGGACGTACTGCCAGACGTACTGCCGGGTCACCTGAACCCAAACGAGATAGCCCACTATCGTGCGCAAGGTTTCACATGCCGCAATGAGCTGGTCTCTCGCGAGAGTTCGGGAGAGCTCGTCCATAGTGATCCTCTCGTTACATTTCATAAAATAACATCCTATTAGAGAGGAGAGCAACAGACTTTTAACTTTCCTTATTATAAGCTCCCAAGATTACAAGCAAGCACGCTCCGCATGCTCCAGATGGGGTCTTACCCCTCTAGGGGCCTTCTAAGCATGCTTCATCCGGAAGTTAATCCACTTTGCCCAGATAGTAGTGAATATTGTTCTCTGAGTCACATGCTCTGGCAGTGCCCTGTGTTACAGGGCTTTAACTGAGAAGAAGACTGGACGATGACAATCACAGACCCCAGACAAGACGTCTAGCTTCAGGCTGAGGGCCCGCAAATGCGCTGAGAGGCATGGCCTCTCTGTTCCGACATGGGACTAGCCGACTGCTGGGTGGAGCTAATTGGCCCGCTGCCTTGCCTCTCAGAACCAAAATAAAGTTGTTTGTCTGTCTGTTTTTTCAAGAATTGTAATCATAAAAACTGCAGGAGACGACTGCTAAAGTAAACACCACAAATCTTGGGGGTAAAGTGTGTTGCTTTTAAACAGGAGTTTGACGACATTATACGGGACAATCACATAAATAACGCTAGTAAAATGATAAATTAAGTAATAAAGATGGCTAGCTAATATTTCTTTCAACTATGCCTTGAAGTTAATCTGCGGTAATAAACTGGACTACTCATATGATAAAGAGAAAAAATTAATTTTTGAAGGTGACGACTTGTCCACAAGCTTCACGTACCTGAAACTTTTTTCTTCGTACAGCATTACTTCTGAAACCTTTTTTGAGAGCCTGTGGTTTAAAAACAAATAAAAATACTTAATACATCATTTTTCACAAACATTTTCTTCAGAAAGATTAGCTTGAAGAACAAAACAGATTAATCTTTACACACTACCCTATATTAAACGGGCATTTGTAAATGGAAGTTATCACAAGTTGATGCCAATCATGCAAGGTTCACTGTGACAATATGACTCATTATTTTAAATTTTTATTTTAAATGTCAATTTGAAAAAAGGAAAATTCATGTCGGGAACACAACAGCTATGCCAAATGAAGAAACAATAATGCTCCTCAAGTGCATAATGTGGGAAAGCAAGTTATTTTCAGTGATGCCCATTGGCAGTACTACATGAGTGTCTGCTCTCATTGGCATCATCTTCTTAGAGGCTGCTAGAAAGTAGTGACACTAAAGATAAATTATCATCAAACATATACTCCTCTATGAAATTTTTATGGTTTCTCATGCAGAACTTTTTCTTAAAGAGGTTCTGAACCACATTTCCAAGTAATTAGCAGATAACTTTGGTATCAGCGTTTATCTTCCACCAATCAATCGGCGCAAAAATTTCTCGATTACCTCAAGAATAAGTATAGTTGCAGATTTGTCGCATGCTTTAACCACTTCCTGCATGCTCTCATCGTGACAAGTGCACTAGCGCCTACACAGGGGGAGATGGAATGAGAGGAACAAGCCATGTCAAAGTCAAGTCAAACACACACAATGACCTTAAACATGTGTGATTAAATGCCATTGCTCTTTCCCGTAGCAATTCCTAAGTGCTGCTGGAACTATTATGCAATGCTAGCAGATTAGAAGGAGGACTGAACTTCATTTATTCTAAATGAATGAGCATGGCGCCAGCACACTGCGGTAATAAGCAAATCTAATTCAAATACCATTTTTTCTTTACGTCAGCTGTTAGGCAATAGCATGTTACCTACTGTTCAACATCAAACAGCAGGCGCCGGCAGCTCCGAAGAGAGCGAGCAAAGACATGTGAATGAAAAGGGGGTGCCTGATAAAACGTAAGCTTTGCACTCCACTTCTAAATTCCTCTTGCTGTGCATGACAGCAACATTTAGCTGAACGGTTTGTAGCAATGTCTACTTTCTGAAGGATATATTTTTCAACAAGCCTGAGGGGTGGTGGTTCATGACCTCTTTAGCAAAAAGCACAGATCGCCAGTGAAATTATTGCAGTAAGAAAAAAGTCACAGCTTTGCCGCAAAGGCAAAGCAATGAACACGATAGCAACAAATTGGAGGGTCACACGCTGAATGGCAAGCAGATCGAAACATGCCCCGCAATTCTCACGCAGAAATGACGCACGAAACGTACTTGCAGGTACAGATGAACGCGAATAAGCATCTCAGTTGTTACTTCGCTGTGTCTAAAAAGCGTGCCCCCTTCGAAAACGAAGACTGTACAATGATTGTAGTGACCTTTGTGCGTCCGGTAACTACAACACAAGCATTCTAGCAAAAGCCTAACACCAGCCAAGACATACGATCGTCCCCTCCGAGAGGTAAGGGCGCGTGAGGGAGCAGTATACCTTCTTTACTCTGAAGGGCAAAGTACGCCTGGGAGATACAAACACACGCCACCGCACGCTCATTGCGCCATCTCGCTGGTAATACTAAATATGTGATACTTCCCCCCCTGAGACGCGCGCCGCCGCGTGCTCATTGCGCCATCTTGCTGATGATGCCGAAAACATAATCCCCCCCCCCCCCCCCCCCCGGCGATGCCCTTCACCAGCAGTAAGTGGTAGATATATATAGCTTGCTATTTGAGCATTGAAGGACGTGCTCTGCGGTGGCTCAGTGTTAACGCCTTGCATTCACGATTTGGAGGTTCCGCGTATGATTACGTGCACCGGAGTCTTTCAAGGATTTTTTTCTTTCATGAGTTTTCATTTATATAGATACGTATACATATACGGTGAGTGACGGCGACGCCCGCGGCAAAATCCAGTGGAGAGTGTTCATATAATTGCTATCTTAATAAAACTAGCTAGAATGTTGTCGGGTGACTCTTTAAATTGACACAGTCAGATCAATGCTACACAATTTAAGCCTGGACTATATGAAGTTCTGCCAGAATTATAAGGCCAACAATACATTTTCCCTCACAAACACTAGCTATGTAGAATTCGTAAAAAAAGTTTCTCAGTTTTGGCACAAAAAGGCAAATCATAACCTCAGTAAAATGAAATTACCTCTGCCTTATCAACAATAAACAGCTCCTGGTCACTGTAGGCAAAGAAAACATCTTCGTTCCTGGCATCAAATGCAATGCCTGTCAATGGTTTCAACGTTTCCAGTGTCAGCCCACCATGTTGATATGCAACTTGACACCAATGACTTGATGACTCGCTGTTAACATTGTATTCTATAACCTAAATGATAAAAAAATACACATATATCAATTGAAAAGTTTTAGCTGAACATAAAAAGCATTAAAAACATTCAGAAAGCAGCAATCACACATCTGATATGAAGTCCAAGAGACAAATTGTGCAGTTCACCTTAGACTCTCGGTTATCAGACATTTTTTTCAAACCACTGGATCAGCAAGTACAGTGATGGACAATGACTGACTGTTCCAGAGATAAGCACAGATAGGCATTCATATACACAGGCATACTACAAACAAAATTTATGTACAATTAAGTCAGAAAAAAATGCTTTTGGCAAACTAAAACTGAATGGCCAAACAGCTCAGTCGCCTGCATGATGTCGCTCACTCATGGAACTTGCCATGTACAGGGGCGATTGAAAACTTTTGGCTGGGCTGTTATAATTTAAAGCAATTTGTAGATTTAAAGCTTTGTAATAACACATTTTACATCAAGAGGTTTAATTAATCTGCTCAATGACCCTAAGGACATGCCTTACCGATTCAATGCATTTGTACAAAATCATAAAAAACCACTTAAGGGTCCCTTTAAAACTTGCATAATTTAGAAGACACAGACCAAAAAGTAAGGTACACCCAGCAGCAAATTCAATGCGACGTGAGCACCACTGCAAGAGAGAATTTTCGCTCATTCAGCGCATGATAGTTCTAATCAAGTGAGTAACTATACAAATGGCAAGAATTATACTACAAGCTATAAAATTTAACTGTAGGCTATATTCCCAGACAAAATGGAAATAGTTTAATCGTAAATATTCCATAGTAAAAAAAACCTTGCTGGAGGGTGTACATAAGAATGAAATCATTTTGCGCAGCAAACAATGCATATATTTTATTTTGAATTGAATATTTTTAGAGTATCATGTAGCAACTGCACCAAGCCAACACTTATTTAGACTAATACCGCATTCAGGTGATTGTAGGTCGACCCATTTTGTCTTAATTTGAAATCAGAAGTTGGGGATCGACCTAAAATCGAAAACAAGTTTCGGTTGTGAAGTTTTTTGAAAATGAGTTCCAAGTCATTCCGCAAACCAAGCTTTCCTGCACAGCATTCAAGTACTGCCGTGAAACCACCTTCGCACATCGGTAGCTTCACAATGTGTCAAAAAAGTAGTAACAAAATGCATTCAAGCTCCTCTCTCTCTTTTTTTAATGCAGTGCCATTTTTGGGGGTCGACCTACAATCGAGTCGACTTACAATCATGGAAATATTCTGTTAACAAATGTTTTTCGACATCACACACACAAAAAAGAAATAAAATAGGAAGGAAACCTCAAGTACCAAGTTTTCAATTCTGTCTGCTACTCAGTAACAAATAATATTCTTCAATGTTTATCCATCTTTCAATAAAGAAATGAGCAGTCACAAAAGCTACTGCAATGAGTAGCTTGGCGGGGTAACAGCTCCCTTAAAATAAAATGACACCAACAGACAGTGCTTTCAAAAAAAAAAAGAATGGACTTAAGAAAACAGAAGAAAAAATGATGGTGCTAGTGTAAGATTGTTGTAGACCGGTATAACAGGAACCCTCTATGTAAAAACACTTTGAGCTATAAAATGAAGCAGATTATGCCACATTCGTATAATCCGCACCTGTTAAGATGTTTAGAGTCAGAAAAAAAATTGCTTACTAAAGAGAGTTCTGTAATATTTGATTAACTTATTTGGGGCACTTTGGCAAATACTACTAGTGAACATTGCAAGAATTTCCCATATACTGAAAATCAAATTTACGCATTAATGCTTTTCGTGCTTTTGACACACTATGAGATGCAATTTGCAGATATGAAGTACCTGTTTTTGGTTCAAAGTTATGTTTTTTTAAGGGACCCACAACCAATATTTATGGTACCCGTTTTCTTGGGTGCGACGGAAAGCTTACCCGTCTGAGCTCGCAATCACGAAATGGTAACGCGGAAATCACCATGGAACATTTATAATCATAATTTTTCGATTTGCGGCGATTGTGCAGTCTTAAAAAGAGATGCTGCAAATAGTGGATGTGATCGCGATAGCGATTATACGCCAGTATAACGCCAGCAGTGAGGAAAAGTGAAGCTGTAAGTACAAACACATAATGTTGTGGTTGTCAAGCCTGTAGCCCCACGACCACCGCTTTATAGCTAGCTAAATTACATTACAAGAGTTACAGCACTTTCCCGGGGCTTCTTATGCAAGTACTTTTGGCCATGCACGGGTAGTTTTTCGACGTGCAAGGGTAGTTTTTTCGAGCCAGGACAAGTCTTCGAAAACGAAACGGCATGTTTACCCGCGATCGACAATTCATGCATAGTAGTTCCCATTCGGCTGTAGTTGGTCGGCTTCGATGTCATCACTTGACAACTCGAGCAAGTTAGAGGAACGAATTTTGGCTCGAATGCGAGCGCAAAATTGGGACCCCTACCAAGTATCGCCAGAGCGACATGTTTTAACAGACAATAGCAGTAGCGACTAATCCGATGGACCGCCATAATCGCCATCGTCAGCAGCATGCATGAAGCAATTCTCCACAGAGCAGTAGGCTAACGGCATTTTGCGCGCCGCAGCGATCACATTGAAAAGCTCATGTGCTTCTTGAACACACCCGAAGCGATGGGAATCGAGCTACAGTGGAAATGCCGCCCGGCCGCACGTATGCACAAACTGCACCCGTTTCCCTGCAGAGGCCACGAAAGCAGCGCCACTTTTCATGCTGTACTTCTTTTACCCTGTAAGCCCATACAGTAAAAGCTCGTTAACTCGGATCTCACGGGACCGGAGAAAATGTCCGAGTGAACCGAATTCCGAATTATCGAATGGACCAAAAAACAAAAAACAAAAAGAAAACATACACAGCAAAGACAAACCTTTATTTCTTAAAAAAGTTCGGTTTTTTTTTGCGTGCCTCACAGTCGGTATTTCTGACAGAACGATCTTATATAATCCCTTCAGGTGGTGGTGGGCACGTTCACTGTCGCGAGAACAAACGCAGAACTCCTCGAGGACAGCGAGGGCTTCGGCGGCCTCCTGCAGAATGCGGTGATGTCGCGTTGGCTCATCCTGGCCGTCATCGTCGGAACAGTGATTTTGGTCCTCCTCAAGCACTTCCGATAATATATCATTGTCAGTCAGCAGACCAGCAACGGCAACATGATAGTCTATAGCGACGTAGTCTATAATCTGGACGCCACTAGGAAGGAGAGAGTCAAAAAGCATGTCATTCACCTCGTCCTCCATATTTCCTGTGGGCTCGCGGGTGTCCTCTGGAGTGGCCTCTGGAGAAATATCCGAGTCGTCAGGGTGGACAAAGCCACTGAGCCGGAAAGAATTTGCAATGACCGCAGGCGGCGTTTCGCTCAAGACATGAGCCAAAATGTAAATTGCTGTCAGGAGAGTCATTGTCATATTCTCGCCCTGCTTCCTTGCACAGCAGGATCCGTTCCAGCACATGCTTTCTGTACCTGCTTTTCACGTGCTGTATTATCCCTTGATCCAGTGGTTGCAGAGTAGCCGTCGTGTTTGCAGGTAGAAATACAAGTTTGATACACTCCAGCCCTGCCACTCTGGTATGAGCCCTGCAGTTGTCAACTAGAAGTAAAACCTTGCGCTTGTTAGCGGAGAAGCGGCGGTCGAGTTGGCGCAGCCAAGCCTGGAAAATATCCGAAGTCATCCAGGCCTTTCTGTTGGCGAGATATTGCTCAGGAGAGTGGTGAATATTCTTAAAACACGTTGGGTTACGTGCCTTCCTGATGACTAGCAGTGGCAGGCGCTCGGTGCCCGACATATTTGAAGCGAGAAGCACAGTGATCCTTTCATTGCTCCTCTTCCCTGCAACGCACAAGTCGCCCTTGAACGTGATCGTTTTGTGCGGCAAGGCTTTAAAAAAGAGAGCCGTTTCATCGGTACTGAAGACGTTGGAAGGCTCATAACAAGCCAGGTAGTGGGGAAGCTCGGTTGTCTTCTAGTCAGCAATACGCCGTTTATCCACTGCTGCTTTTTCCCTGCACACGTTTCGAAAGACCAACCTTCAGACGCACTGAAAGATTTGATGTTCATTCTCAGTGCGTACCTTCCAGCTTGCCGACAGATCAACGATCCACTCAAGGGAAGCTAGCTGTTCCGCATGACTGTTATCCACCGCAGCAGTGTGTCTTCCAGCTTCGGGTGTGCCGCCGTCCTTATACCCCTGTAATACGGGCAAACGCGAAGACCGTTTAACTCCCTCGTCCTAACGACAGCGAAGATGTGGTCCGTGTCACACGGCCACCCTTACGCAAACGAATGTAAACGGAGCATTTCGCAAAGGACGTTCAACGATCTCCCTTCACAGCAAAATGAGGTACTCTCGTCCCCAGCAGTATAGAGGTCAGAAAAAAATTTCTAGCACTAGGTGGCCGCAGTGAAAAGAATAATACATTTTGGCAATATTAAACGTTCTCTCGTTGTAGTACTCATTCACAACACCTGTTTGTTTATATATATTTCCAACGGCCAGAGTTCACTTACTCTCTACACCGATGCCCCACACACCGTGCCTCACGAGTCGGGCCGGCCGGCGCCATTGAAAAGTATTTCGTCCATGCGTGTGGTTGTGGTGGTCGCTGTGTCACTCATGGCTGAAGAACACAAAATGTGTGCTCACGAGGCAAGGAAGCACAAGAACTTTCGTACCGGGCATGTGCACCGGCAACAAAACAACTAAAAGCACAATGTGGCCAGCGTCACTAGCAGCATCACTACATTTAGCAAATTCCTTTCTATTTGAAATTATTTTTAATGGTTTATTAGCCTCTTACCAACTTAATAGTGCTTTTTTGTAAAAACCGCAAAACGAGGATTTACAAAAAATAAGTAGAGATGAAACGGGAATACTTTTCCGAAAATCAAACAGCGCCAGCTGAGCCCCCTCACGGCAACTGTTACAACCTTGTAATTGCCGTGTGACACTGCCACAACTCCTCTGTCGAACCCCCTAGGGCAGATTTACGTTGACGGTGTTCAACGGAGTTTAGTGGTGGCCGTGTGACAGGGGTCTTAGTCGTTTTCGTTTTCCGGTGAATTTGTTGCTGTCAAACGCCTCAAAAATTTTTTCTCTGTTCTTCACATAGTCGCTTAAGGTGCTTCTCTTAACATCATACTTTTTCCTTATCTCCTGTCAAAAAACACCTGCGTTCATGTCTTTCAATATTATAACCTCTCTTTCAAAATCATTTGCTGGCTGCTATGGCCGCTTAACTCCTGTGACGGTCACCATAAAGCGCGACAGCGGCGGCAACGCACACAAACAGAGCCGCAACACGCAAAGTCACAACACAAAGAACCAAGACAGGAAGTACACCAGTAGGCGTAGCATGGGTGTAGTGAGCAGCTGTTAGTAGACACTGGATGCGCCGGTGGCCCAAGCACTTCCGCCGGGCGGTGACTAGCGCCACCTAGTCACTTCCCCCTCATTCACTATCATCATGGTCATATTCTGCTGCAGTTCACTCGGTTTTGGTTTCTCCAAAACTCCAGTTCTGCCGTCGGTTACGGCAAGTGGTGCTTGAGCCTCCAAGCCCCCGAGATCGCACAACTCTGGAGTCCGGATAGCCCTCTCCGGAGTTGTCCAAGATAACCAGTGCGTGGCTAAATCCCTCCAAATTAATGAGCATTTGACCTTATTGAAATATGCACAGTTTTGCCGGGACCGCGCCGCGAGTCCGAGTTAACCAAATTTCCGAGTTAACAAGGGCCGGATAAATGAGGTTTAACTGTAGAAACAAACTAAAATAAACAATAACATACATATTCGAAATGTAAGCCCTCATTCCGGTGCGCTTTAAGTAATCACAGCAAAGTTATTAGGGCTTCATAATTGTGTACCATGGCTCTTATGCTAGGGGCACGACATGCCGGTTTTGGTTACTTTTGAACGCAATTTAATAATATAAATCCTACTCAGGTCGCGAAAAGTGTGCCGTCACCTGTCACCGTAATTCATGCTCTTTTATTTTCCACCGAAATCTCATCATCCGTTAAGGCGAGTTGTGGGTCCCTTTAAACTCCATGCTTCAAATAGCAAACTTTCTGAAATTTCAGCAAAATATCTCTCCGAATCAAAACTCCTTGCTAAAGTCACTATAACTTCTCTTTCTTTTTTCAAAAATTCATTTCATACAAATCGTTTCAGCAAATGTCTGAAAAAATTGCCCTGTATTTTACATATACATACTTGAGCAAGAAAAATGAAGCTGCCTCCCATGCTAACACATTTCACACTTCCTCTTGACGATTTCACTTGTCTTACATTCAAAACACCAACATTCTTTCACAGAAAACATAACCAACAACAACAACTACAACAACAAATTATACAAATAGAAAAATGTGTCTATAAAGTGAATGTGAAGGTTCACTGGTTGACGGAGTTTAAATCCCAAAGCCACCCCGGCTACGAAAGGTTATGAATCACTAATTTGAAAGATCAGAATGAGTGTGGCAGTTTGGGCTAGTTGGTATGGCACGACCATAGTTATAGCGCCAGAACAGAATGACGACAAAGAGACAAGAAGGACACGAGCGTTAATGCAGAAGGTGAAGGTGCGCGCACGGCAAATGGAGACTGCAATGAAAGTTATGAGGACTGATTGATGAAGAGAAACACACGAAAAAGAGTCCTTCTTGTCTCTTTGTCGTCGTTCTGTTCTGACGCTATAACTATCATCAGAATGAGGCTCTCAAGAACCTTCATTTGATCTCTTTCAAAAATACACATTTACTAACCTTGTTGTTGCTATATATTACCAGCAGGTGACCAGCTTTTGGGTAGAACCTCATTGCCGTTGGCAGACACGGAACTTCAGGAAGGTTGCAAAGGACCTGGAGACACATGTGCAGCACCATATAAATGATAGACACATACTTCTATGAAGTTTTTAACAAGAAAACTCCTTAAAAGAAGATTGTGTTTTTTTGTTTTTTTGTGTGTGTTAACCCTTGCACATCTTTTCCCATCTCCCTCTATGTTGGGCATCAATGAATTTACACGGATGTTACATTCTGAGCACTTTGTTCAGATTTTCAGCTTAGCTCTAATAATGGCATCATTAACCCTATTAGGATAAATGACATCAACTTATGGCGCCGCAAGCAAGTCCTAAATAATCGATGCTCTACACTTACAGCGCCGTCTGTATGTTTGAAAACCGTGCCTATTTTACAATTGGTCTTTTTGCTGATCATATGCTGTCACTTTTCAAAGATGCTGGAGAATTTTTTTTTTCCACTATAAACCTTCTATTTCTAGTTTAGCACCAGTGACACGAAATTTTTCACTTATTTTTTTTTTTTTTTTGCATAAAATAACAGTTCAAGCACCCGAGAGCACGGAGAACGTATCGGTAAGCGTGAGTGCACCTTGAAAAACAATTACAGCCTGCTTCTAAAAGCTAGTTCCAGCTCTGTCGCAGCAAAGAGGCTCTACATTTGGATGGCATCAATTTAGTGCTGGATAAAAGGTGCAGATTCGGTTGTTCGTGCCAACAGCTGCATTCGCGCAGGAACGCGATAAGAGGACCCCTGGTGGGCGCCCATCACAAGTTTGCTCCTTGCTGCCCCGATAGTCCCGATCACCCTGGCATTTGTAGATATCGCTGCTGCCGGTGACATGAAAAACATTGGATAAACTGTTTATGACTTGAAATAACTCATGATTGAATAAAGTGATGCTTGAAGTGTGCTATTTCTGCAAAGCAACATCTGTTTCCGAACCAGCAACGAGATATCGAGCCGTGATGGCACGCCATTTTGCAGGTAAACAAACATTGGCACCGACCATCTCGGCGAACCGGCCTGCTTCTATCCCACCTTTACTTTTTACATCGCAGTCGTCTATAAAACTAGTTGCACGTGTAAAAGCATCATATAAGTGTAAAAGTTTTTATCGTGTTGGCAAAAGAAGCGCTTAACAATAACCTTAGGTTGGAAAGCGAGTGGCCCTACCGAGAACTTTGGCCTTGCCAGGCCTACACTCGGAGTTGAGAATTAATGTGGCCTGTTTCGATGTTTGTCGCTCACGAAGGCATGTTGGCAATGTTATTAGACAATTAGGCATGGCTGTGTGCGGTTGTTTATTTTGTGCTTAATAAAAAGAGGATACGATGTCTTCTGAGCGTGCAAGCTGAGGTGCTGAATGTGGGCAGACATCGAGGACTGATGGCTCGTTCTCCCCATATGTCGTAAATGGTCGTACGCCACATGCGCCGTTGTATGCCGAGTCAGACCATGTGTCCAGCGCTTTTTAAGGTGTAGGTTCTACGTCGACAATCTGAAGTCGGTCAGCAACTGCATGTTGTGTGTGTATGCGTCCAGAGCGAACAGAGTAAACTCCGCTTGATTGGCGTGCAGTCTTCGCCTCGGCCGTGGTGCACGAGGTCGACCCACGCTTGCCTCAACACCGGATCGGACTGGAATAGGAGGAACTTGCCACTGCTGCCCTATTTCACTGGTGAGAGCCAATTCACAGGGCAAAATATTGGCACCATAACAAATTCGAAATCAAATGATTCCTTTGCCCTCCGATAAGCGTATATACAGTAAAATCTCGGTAGAACGAACACCACATTAACAAACTTTCTAGATTAACAAACTCAAAAAATCCCACGCCGACTGCTAATACATAGTTTCAATGTAAAATTATTTCACTACCACGTACTTCAGAATATTGAACTTTTCAATAACGAACCCTAATTTAGTTCCGCATTACACTAACAACGCCTCAGTACTACGAACACATGTTCTGAAATCCGTACGCAAGCAGACAACACAGTGAACGGACGCCTTGCTTCTCGGAAAACGCGCGATGGTGCGGAGAGGGAAAAAAAATATAAAAGGATGACTTTCTCCTCTTTCTTTTTGTTGAAATGCCAACGCTGCAGGTTTACAAGTGCAAAGGCAAGGGGCGAGGACAACACGGGAAGGCAAGGTCAGCGAGACAAAGTGGGAGTTGCGTAGCGGGAAGCTTGGGCGCGGAAAACCTGAGACAGTGAGGGAGCAGAAAACGAAACACAAGGGGTTTTTTTTTTTTTTTTTTTTCACTTTCTTCAGAAGAGTCGATGGCAGCCGCGACGCTTCGGGTTTTTCTTATATTTATCACTTCCACATGTGCTCTAGGACAACACCTCCTTTAAAAAGATGCCTGCGACATCGCACACTTTTCCATGGGGACACTTTTCCTTGTAGTTCAGTACTTTCTCCGCAAGAGGTGCTTGAAGCCGACACTACTACTTCCGCTGGACTCAAAAGTGACGCCACCACTAAAACACAACCGTGTTGCCTCTGAGAGGGCAGTAGGCATTACTTTAATCTCAGAGGTTACAAGGTTTAAAGTGGTCGCCACAGCGAGCGCTCGCAGCCGACACTGTTTGGGGTGCGGAGGAGAAAAGAATAGGAGAGGGTCGAGAACCAGCTCTTTGGCTCAAGTCGCAGGCATCTTTCTAGAGGAGGCGTTGTCTAGGAGGCCTTGTCAATCGTGTTCATCTCTTTTTGGTGATTACTTATGGCGTCAGCAAAGCAAGTCGACGTTCGCGCTGCGGTGCTACTACAATAAGTTTGTAGCGAGAAAGGAAGACGGGACGGCGGCCAACGTGGTCGTGTCGTTCTCTCGCCACTTTATTCCACGCCTGAAGCGGAGCCGCGTGGCTTTTCACGTCCGACACACCAAGTGCGCTAGCTTGTTCTAATCCTCGCGCAGCTCGAGCTAGCATCAGCTGCACGAGAGGCGCGGCGCGGTCATTGAGAAATGATGATGAAGATCATGCACTACAAGTTCATCTCCGTTTGCGATGAAGAAGCAAAAAAAGTTTTCACTAAGCGAGAAGGCGGATATTCTTCGGCAACGGGAAAACAGGCTGTTGTAGCCAAAGAACATAAAATTCATGTGCCCCCCCCCCCCCCCGAAAATCGGACTTCTTCAAGCAAACATGCATTTTTTGTTGTTTGTTCACTTGTGCATTTGTTTTTTCTCGTGAAAAACGAGTTCAAGGACCCACCGTTGTACAGGTAAATCGTTTTGGTCGGTGGAAAATAAGTATTTATGGTTAATTTTTAGGCACTCACTATTACGACCTTTCAAAATAACGAACATATTCCCGCAGCCCGCCGATGTTAGTGATACCAAGATTTTACTGTATTGTATTCGCGTGCACGTACACTATATTCCAGACTCTGCTAGCTTGCTTCACAGATACGCTGGATGACAGTGACCGCACGGTACGAGCAGATGAACGAGAGGGCGACACGCAAGTGCCATTTTTGTGTTTAGGTGCTTGACGTCATGACAGCTTGCAAGAATCCTGCATTAAGTCACCAGGATTAGTATTGTAGCCTGACATCAAGTTAGTTTCGATGTTATAAGTGTGCTGCGACAAATTTTACTTTAATATCAAAATAAAGTACCTAACCAGCATTTGCTAAGCATCACACTGGCTCAGAGCCGTCTTTTTATAAAGGAGATTTGTATGGCAGAGTAAACTCGCCTACAAAAAAAAGGTGTCAGTACCCCTTTAAGCCACAATGCACGCACAGACATGCAGCGATAAGTTTCGTGTAGGTTTACAATTTCCATTATTTAATTCAAGGTCACAAAAATTGGTGTTTATCTGGTTTATAATCACTGAAAAAATTATTGCTTCATGCGAGCTTCTTCATTGCCTGCAGGGATGTTTGCAGATGTGCGTTAGTATGTATGAATAATGCCACCATATCTGAATGATGCATCCGTGCTTGCCGATTTTCTGTCTTGAGAAGTGCAAATATTTAATGCTTCTCAGTGGCGATAACACGAACGACCATTGGAAGTAATTTACCACTCATTTGGGTTTCTCATGGGCACAAAACTCTAGTGTTGTGCATACCAGCTTCTCTGATGTGAGCGAGTCAATCAGTAATTTCTGATTGAACACTGCCCAAATGCCAAATCGAAATCAAATAGATTGGGTGCCAGCTGTTAAAGGGACACTGAAACAATAAAAAAAAACGAGATTATGGTGTCTTCATACGTAATTTCATGCGACAAACTCGAAAATCAAGTAGATAATTTGCATAAACCAACTCAAATAGCTTTACTTTGCCAAAAACAAGCAGCAGGCGTCGCAGCCGCCATGGAGAGTCTTGCCGCCACTGTGACTGGTGAAAGCTCCATGACGTCACTGTCAGAAAGGTGAGGACAGTTGACTGCGCTCGCCGGCAGTCAATGTTGTGTTTATTTGTTGAGGCGCTGCACTGTGCTCCCTACCGGGCTGCAGAAAATTAGGCACCTTTTCCTCTTCTAACCACTACCACCACCACCACCACTATCTGTTGAAATAGTGCAGTTGCTGTAAGTATAGCGAACTGGAAAAGTCGGACCGAATTCGCTGTACGTCTGTACATGTTCGAGCCGGTCGCCACTGTAAGGGCGACGACTGAAGCGGCACAGGAAAGCGAGTCTCAACCAGCCACCTTCACCCGCGTCAGAAACATAGACAGGCACGTATAAGATGCCTGCCAGTGCTTAATTTCACTGTAGTAAACTGTTACAAAAGATACGCTTATCAGTGGATATCAAATTTCATAAGAAACAGCAGCATCGGCACTCGGTTTTAGCCTACTGGCACTGTCTGCGCTACGCGTGGGCAGCGTGCAGGAACATGAACTGTTCGTGCATTTCACAGCTCAGAGTGCAGCATTGTTAATGCAGTCAGTATTGTACTGAGTAGCGGGCAAGGCACACACGATGAATCAGTATGCGACCCTGAGAAAAAAAAAAAAAAAAGCCAGACGAGTGCCGCTCTTGCCGCAGTGGTGATATGTGCTCTGAACTGCGCTGAAAACTGCGCAAAAGTAGTTTGACTCGTACCTTGCAATTCTCTTTTTTTTTTTAATAGTACCATCGCTTTTTCTAAATTCTGCCCAGTACTACCTTGATGACATGTTAAAATGCAAATGGTGTATTAGCTGTGCTAGAAGCATGCGACTGTCGTGCAGGATAGCCGATTTTGATTATGCAAACTGATACCATTGTACACGTGTTTCACTATAGGTGCTCATGCACGCACTGCATGCAAAATGAGGAAGAGAAGGAGTGCTGCTGCCGCCTCGAAATTTGGCAGATTCGTGACCGCCACAGCGCGCTTCATCTCGTAAGTTTGAAGTATTTTACTTTTAACTGCAGCGGCCCATTTCGCAGCCATCTTCTGATCCTGAGGAAACTTGTGAAAAGCGACCTAATCACGAGCGTAAGTGCTGCGGCAGCTATATGTTGCGCAGTGACTCGGCACCGCGAGTCCCCTCAACCTTGCAAAAACACAACTAGTCGGATGATGAAAATCTCTAATCAGAAGAAGGGAACAGTGCAATGGCAAGAAATCCATAACAACTGGCGGAACTGCTGCTTCGCCAAGCCGCAGATAGCAGCAGAAACAAGGCACAATCGCGAAGTAAAAAAGCTGAGCTGACTGAGCGACGCAGGCGACCAGGTGCATAGTTGCCCGCCGAGCGGCAGCTTGACCCTGAAGGTGACGTCATCTCCCGTGTCTATCTCTCCCGTGCTCCTCCCCTGCGCGCGCGCATGCTGGGGGTGGGAGGGGCATTCCCTCAGTCGAAGTTTGCTCGCTCATAGCGCCGATATTTAATTGAACCTCGGGAAAAAAACCTCAGTAGGCATGTTGTCAGAGGTCGCAGATATCGAATTCGCAATAAAATCACGAATTCAAAACCTCTTTAGTGTCCCTTTAAAACATGGAATTGTTAACCTGTTGAAAATTCTAATCAGACACAGGAGGACCGTCTCGGAAACGGGCGTAGTGCAACAATTCTGTTTGGTATAAAGGTGACAGTAATCGGTGTGCCTTCTTTTCTAAGCATTTGAAACATGTTTAGTCAATGAAAATACTTTTTGATTATTAGTATAAGATTATAAGAGGAAAAAACCAGTGTAAAATTTAGACGGGACACGAAGAAGGCCCCACAACACCGCCAACTCACGATTGATTTCTATTTTTTTTTTACATGTGAGCACCTATATAGTAGCTGGACAGTCAAAAAACAAGGAAAATGACATGATATGGTACCCCTATCTCTCGTCGATATGCATCACTGCCGGGCGCCGCAAAGACGTGCTGTACTCTACCATTGCCCGCGTTTTCATTGAAGGGCCACTCACCAGGCCTCATACCAAATTTTAGTTAGACAGTGGAAGTTGTTGGGTGCCCATTTAGGAACATTTTGCCACAAAATTTTTTTTGAACCTGTTCATTACAAGCTGAGAAAACTCTTTTTTTGAAGCGGCGCGAAACGAGGATGACAGGAGGCGAGCTCGAAACTCTTGCCACTCCTCCACGTAGCCTTCGCAAGCCAAATCTTTTCCCTACCCTCTTCGGCATCCGAAGTAGAGGGTAGGGAAAAGTAGAGGTCACGTGCGCATGACGTATCCGAACAAGGCCAACCCCCATGCACACGAGCGGTGTTTTTTTTTCTTCTTTTTGTTGTTGACCAGGGTTGTTTTGAGGTCTACTGCCTGCTTCTGCGGGATGGTTTGGAAACTCTGGCTAAGACGCGGTAGAATAGATGAGCACAATGAGTGCACGAACGCGTAGGAGTGTTCCACGGCTGTCATCTGCTTGATGCGCAGACCGCAGATTCGCGGGGACACGAACGCATGCGAAACGCCGGCACATTAGCCCTGCATCTCGTTGCAATTTACGGGGAAAAAATGAAAAAAAAAAGGCTCACATTCCCTTACTGCATCTCATTATTTATCTAGAGATTTATTAATCTCTTTAAGCAACAAATACACAGACTACGCATGTTAAGTAATTTTCACTATGTCATGTGCCACTGCTGATAATGTCGGAGCATAGTCGTCTACGTAGAGGACCAACGTCACTGCATTGCCGTGTACGTAGGGCCATTCATACGCGCACGTCATGCCCTCATTCTCTAGGAGCGCACCCACAAAAGGAAGGAGGAGCAGCGTTCATCTTGAAATTTGACCCATTTTCGTGGCACGTAGAGTTGCAATTTTCGGCAGACGTGATCATGAACACCTCATCTACGCATTGCACTTGTAAGCTCGAAATTGTCAAACCTGGTGAGTGGCCCTTTAATGATATGATTCCCTTCATTTCAAATGAAGCCACCGCAGAGAGTTTCGTTGATTTCGTACCAAATGAAAACTTTGCTGCGGGTTGGCAAGTTGTAGCGGGAATTTAACCGAAGACAACAAGATTGGGCACTGCAAAGATCGCTCTTTAGAACTGACCCAAGAGCAGCGCGCATGATACAAAGTCTGGCATTGCGGCCGATAGATCGGCTCCAATAAAAGCCCGCCAAGCATGTGTAGGTTTGCGTACCAGCAGCAAAAGTGAAAGCTCGTGTGAACTAACCATAAAGCTTTCAATTTGTGGACGAGGTCACAAGCGAGATATTTTGTGCATTCTATGACGACGTTTTTCCCACAGGAAGCTCAAAGCACCCAAGATGCAGACATGGGTGCACATCCCATGTGGAACGCACGCAGTTGGCAAGCAAGTGGAGCCACGAGGGCGCCAATGCAAAAGCTTCTCTATTGCCAAGGCAAGCGCCCTCCTATCTCACTTGGTGAGCTTGCGACAGGCAGCTGCTGTAGTCTTTTTTTTTTAATAATTTGTTTTCCTCTCTCCACCTGTCGTGTGTTGCCTATGCGTTTCCTTCTCCATAACAATGCCCTCATCGCCCTCTCCTCTACGGCACAGCTCTACTGAGAGCGCACTCACTATCGCGTTTTATCAGGAGGATTTTCTCGCAACCACATAGTAGCCGGTTTTTCATCTTAAGGGGTCTGCACAATAAGCAGTATGATTACACATGCGGTTCTGTGGGAGGGTAAACGGGACCTCAAAAACAGCACACTGCAGCCAGTCCTGCACTGTACCCTGTTTCGTTATAACATTGTTAAAGCGCATTAAAGCAACTATACATCATATTACTATTTGTTGCAACGTGAATATGGCAGAGGAACTTGGGTGTTTGTAAAAAAACTAACACCGAACAGAAAATGGGGGGGTTGATGCAAGTTTACACACTTGAGCACAATACAAAACATAAAACTGAAAAATTACACACCTTAGATGTCTTCAAATTATAGATGTGTATACCTTCACTGTCAGCAACAGCAAGATGTTCAAGTGACACACATATCATGTGAGGGCCCATTGCACCACCTGAACAAAAAGGAAAAAAAAAAGGGGGGGAGAAGGAATTAGCTTGCTTAGAGCACAACAATGCTCAGGTATGTGCACTTTAGAAAAAGATGAAGCGGAAATGCAAGAGATTTATCAACACAAATACACCGTCAAATTATTTACAATTGCGGTTTGCTATCAATTCTTACATGCACACAGCTAGCACTGCTCCTTCCACTTCATGCTGACAGTCATAGGAGAATGGAAAGTAGCTTACCATGCTTACACAATTGTAGGTCAACCCATTTCATCTAAATTTGAAATTAGAAGTTGTGGGTCGACTTACAAACGAAAGAGCAGCTAGTAGTCCCAGTTGCGACGGGTCAAACGAGCAAATAAGGATGCTGTAGCCGATTACAACACTATGTTTGTTAAAGAGATACTGACATAAAAATTATAGCCTGAAGTTGTTTTTTCCTACAATGTGGCCTGCTAATCACAACACAGCACATAGTTTGCTGTAGCATGCAACAGATAATTACAAGCTCCTCATTACTGACCAGCCTCAGTTTCGGTTTCAAAGAGCTCTAAAAATTACAAGCCACCTAGTGTGTGCAACTTTCAGCCATGTCAGCACACAGGAACACGACAGACTTCCGCAGGTCTGCATCAACAAGTCCTTTCGTACAGAAAACGGGACAGCCGTGTTGCCAAACACAAAACTTGCAATGCGTGCGCCACAGCCATAGACTCGTGAGCAGCAGAGAAGTCTGCTGGTGCAAACGCGACAAAAGCAAAATGGCGGTTATGAAGTCATCATAACTAGTTGCAGCGTGATCACAAGAGGGAAGTAAGGGGGTCACCAAGGGTCACATTTAAGAAAGGTTGTGCAAATATTTGAATGCTTCGAATATTCAAACGAATAATGCAGTATTCCAGTTCACTGAAATGACCTGCTTTGAGGAAGCCACAACTCAGTCACAACACTAGCCATTCTTCACTAAACATGTTATTCCTGGTGCAGTGCTTGAAATGCAAAGAAAGAACAAATAAGAGAGAGAGAAGCACCAACTACAGTAAAATCTCGGTACAACGAACTTCAGGGGACTACGAAAATTTGTTCGTTACTTTGAAAGGTCGTTATAGTGACAGCTCGAAAATTAACCATAAATACTAATTGTTTCCCTACCAAAATGACTTACCTTGACAACTGTGGGTGCTTGAACTCGTTTTTCACGAGAAAAAAAGAACAAATGCACAAGTAAACACCAAGAAATGCACGTTTAATTTAAAGAAGTTCGTGATTTTTTTTTTTTTTTTGACGCGAGCAGCACAAACTTTGCAGCGCGAAGGCCTCCTGCTCATCCACAGTCATGAGGTGCAATTCCGTTCTTTCGTCATAACAGCCTGCATTTTGCCTTCCAGTTGCCGAAGAATATCCATTGTCTCACTTAGCGAAAACTGCTTCTGCTTCTTCGTTGCAAGCAGAGATGAACTCTTTGTAGTATCACCACAGCGCGAACGCGAACTTGCTTTGCGGATGCGATAAGTAATCACCGAAAAGAAATGAATATGACTTAAAAACAAGGCCTCCAAAGAAAAACCCGAAGCGTCACGGCTGTCATCGCCTCTTTCGAAGAAAAAAAAAAAGGGCTAGAAAAAAATTCCTCGCGTTCCGTTGTTTGCTCTCTCGCTGCCTCCGGTTTTCCGGGCCCATGCTTCCTGCTCCGCAACTCCCACTCTGCCTCGCTGACCTTGCCCTCGCCTCTGCACTGGCTTCTTAACCTACAGCGGCGGTGTTTCAACAAAAAAGAAAAAAAGAAAGTCGCCCTTTTGTCCCCCCCTCCCCTCCACATTGTCGGGCGTCTTCCGAGAAGCAAGGCGTCCGTTCGCTTTGTCGTCTGCTTGCGTACCGCTTCGGTAGTCGTGACGGATTTCAGAACGTAAGTTCGTAGTACTGAGGCGTTGTTAATATAACGCGGAACTAAATTAACGCTCATTATTCTGAAAAGTTGAGTATTCTGAAGTATTTAGTAGTGAAATAATTTTACATAGAAACTATTAGCAGTCGGCATGGAATTTTTTTAAAAGTTCGTTAATCTGAAAAGTTCGTTAATGTGGGGTTCGTTCTACCGAGATTTTACTGTAGTACTAACTGTTTATCAGCAAAGATGAAATACAGGTGAATTTCCAAGGATGCGCAATGGTGTGAAAGAGAGATGTCAGACATGTCATCACGGAAGCTGTCTTATAAAAAAAGCACAACCATAACTACATAGAAACTAAACCTGTTGAGCAAACTCAGGCACCAACTTACCTAGGAATAAGTTCTACTAGACAATTCATAAATCTTTTTACAGTTCGAGTTTTAAAAAGAGTGCCAACAGAGGTGTGCACACCTTTTCTAGACGGAAGGGTGTAGAGGTGCCTGGGTGGCATGTTGAACACATGCACACTTCCATGAGAACTCAGTGCCACCAAATATGAGCCATCAGGACTGAACATCAGTTTCTTGGCAGGGCCCATCTGTTCATTGAAAGTGGATACCTTGTTGCAGTCAAGGCTAGACCCATTAACCTGCAGTAAAAAAGCGGGTATCCAATTAGCAGGCAGTATTAATATTTCACATTTCTAGACTGCACTGGATTATTTGATGATTATAGCAAAACTCTTGTGGGCAGCACATTTCCGAAGTACCACATCACAGTTCCATACCATCCAGCATTATACAACAGATATGAATAGCAATGCTTTACTCAAACAAGCCCTTATTTCTTATACGTGTGCTTGTTTTATCCAAAACAGCCTCCCTGTCTACTGCACGAAATATACATGAACTGCTTTGAAAATTATTAACTGATATATTCAAGTGGAATGTTCAAGAGACATTACAAGATCCTTAATCAAATTATATACCCCAATCCTTCACATAAACTTGACACGGCCCAAAAAGCAGCATTTCATATATTTACTTGACTCGACACGGCCCAAAAAAAGCAGCATTTCATGTCTTTACTTGACGATGGGAGCATGCACAACCGTGCAAGTGGACAGTGGTCATGAAGAAGAATGCCCAAACAGTGCGAGTTCAGAGATTGAAACATAAAAAAAGAGAAAAAAAACATCACATTTTTTTTTTAGTGCAACTAAACTTCAAGTAACTTCAGTACATAGCACTGGCCAAACACGGGCAAATAGGCTGTACCACACAACTGCGGCTTGTACTCTCTGGCTGCAAACATACTTTATAGTACATACAGTAGACTCCTGTTTAACAAAGCATGAAGGGACCCGGAAAATGTGTTCCGTTTAACAGCATTTTCGTTTATAGAGAGACAAACAGGTAGTATCTTGCCATGGTTCTTGCAGATGGCAAGATATCTTTTCACTCACTTTTCTTTCTTCAGATTTACATTACAAATCAGCCTAATAACTTCCCCTATAGTTTCCTTGGCATTATTGTCTATTAGATCTCATCATTAATGTGTCGAACACGGAAAAACAAGCCCATAAGTATACAGTTCTTTCCTTATAATTTATTAACAAGGGTCTCGTACTGGCAGACTTGGTATATATATATATATATATATATATATATATATATATATATATATATATATATATATATACCAATTGTGTATATATATGTATATACACACACACACACACACACACACACACACACACACACACACACACACATATTGCCTCATTCAACCTGCAGAGAAGAGCTCGTGCAGCAAAAAAAAGAAGACAAAGTTCTTGCCCGGTCCTCTTCACGAGGGCCTGGCATGTAATTAAAGTGAGCTCTCCTATATCCGACTTCTGCTGTGTCTGCGTCGTGACACTGGTGGAATTGCTGGGTACATGACCAGGACACCTTCCAACAGCCCAGGATCTAGTCCACAAAGACTTCCGCTCGTCGAAGCACTCGTTCCCCGCACCAGCCGCCGCTTGTTAGGCCTGAGGGCAGAGTTCGGTCCTTGGCCGGAAAACATACTGCACCCGGAAGCAGTAGCCCCGCCATGACCAGCCCAAGCACGGCACAGGTGACTGCTTTCACCCCTAAAATTCCTGTTGACTTCCACAGCAACACATACGAGGACACAGATGACTGGCTTGAGGAATTCGAGCGCATAGCCAACGTTAACGGGTGGAATGCCACACAGAAGTTGGGGTACGTGTATTTCCCTCTTCGGGAAGGGGCTCGCACATGGTTCACGAATCACGTGTGGTCAACGTGAGACGAGTTCCGGCGAAAGTTCCCGGACACCTTCGCAAACACCAAAAGACAGGAGCATGCACACCGACTCCTCGAATCCAATTCAAAAGCCAAACGAATCTGTTGCTATGTTTGTTGAGGACATGGCTCGTCTCTTTCATCGAGCCAATCCCGATATGTCCGAGAGCAGAAAGATCAGCCACCTCGTGCGTGGTGTTAAAGAGCAGCTGTTTGCTGGTCTCATGCGGAACCAACCTTCAAGCGTCGACGAATTTTTGAAGGAGGCAATCGCCATCGAACGTGCACTACAGCTACACTACCGCCAGTACGACCGCCCAAACAAGAGCGGACAAATCAGCGCAACTGCCATGACCACTGTGACACTTGACAAGCGTTCTTTGCGTGACCTGATACACGAAATTGTGCAAGAAGATGTGAAGAAGCTCGCCGCCACACCGAATGACTGCGCGATTGCGTCGGTCACAGAAGTTGTGCGCCAAAAGATAAGGCAAGCGCTTTCACTTCCCGAGCCGAACTCTGACAGGGTTAGGCCAACCTATGCAGATATTCTCCGTCGACAGCCATCTAACGTGCCCCCACCACAGCAGTACCACCAGCAACAGCCGCCGACAGTGCCTTGGTACTACAGTGATACGTCGACGCCGATGCGACCTTCACTCCGCAAAACCCGACATCTGGCGTACCCCTGACTACAGGCCCTTGTGCTTCCATTGTGGGGAAGCAAGCCACATCGTGCAGTATTGTCCTCATCGCGTCACCAGGTACCAAGGATTTCCGTCCACTACCCCTCGGCGCTATTTCAACGAAAGACGCAACGTTAATATGAGCACGACAATCCCACAGGACTTTTCTTCTGGGTTCCGGTCACGCTCGCCCTCTCCTGGTCATTTTCCTTAATCTAATAGAGATAGGAACACGGACATGGCGAGAGGAAGATCTCCCAGTCCACGCTGGGAAAACTAAGAGGGAGGGGGGGGGGGAGGTTGCGAATTGCCGAAGAGTTGAAAATCCCTCATTACGGCCGCACAAAGCACCGCACGTTTCGAATGAATCGACGAAAGACGAGATTGTCACCGCTGAGATTACACTTTCAACTGACGGTCACGACATGATGGCACTGGTTGACACTGGTGCAAACTTTTCAATAATGAGTGCGAATCTGGCCGACAAAGTCAAGAAAGTGAGAAAGAAATGGACAGGACCACAAATTAGAGGAGCTGGAGGCTAGCTGCTGACGCCTACCAGAAAGTGCAACGCACGAATCAAGATCGGAGAAACATCATTCGTCGCAACCTTCGTTATTCTTTCCGAGTGTTGTCAACAGGCCATCTTGGGTATGGATTTCTTGCGGGAGTACAGTGCCATCATAAATATACCGGACGTTGTACTGACCTTCTCAGCGGACCATAACGCAGTGCTGCAGTGCAAGCCCATGCGCGTCATTGACGATGTGACCATGCCACCGTTATCATGCCGCCTCATCTCTGTCACGTGTAACACACAGCGTACTGGAGAAGGTGTCGCGGAACAAGTATCGACACTTTTACTTTCTCGAGGAATCGCTATTGCCAGAAGTCTCGTCAGTGTAGTGTCTGGGAAAGCAGAGGTCCTGTTGACGAACTTCAGCAACCAGCGTCGACACATTACAGAGGGTACCACAGTTGCATACTTTGAAGAAATTGTAGAATTTCGCCAGTGCTTCGCAGTGCAACAATCAAAGACGCCAGCCGCTTCAGCACCACCACCTGTCGATGTGAGCCCAGATTTATCGCCAGCGCAGAGGCAGAGTCTTCTAGATGTTCTTGGCCAGTTCGAAGATTGTTTTTCACTCGGAGGTCAATCAAACGCCACTGACAAAGCACCGAATTATAACAAAAGAGACGGCAAGACCAATTCGACAAAACCAGTACCACGTGGCACCGAAAAAACGCGAAGCAATCCAAGAACAAGTCCAGAAAATGCTCGACAAGTGTCAATTTCCCTTGACCCTTTAACCACTTTGCTCGATAGCGCGGAACTGATTTGAACTAATATGTGTCCATGTTGTTCGAGTTGTTAATGAATAACTTATATTGCCAAAGTTTCCCAGTGGTTTCACGCTACAAATAGGCTGTTGTCAAATTATTTTTCTTAACCCTTCTGCCACCCTTCAGGATACCCCAGAACTGATTAGCAATAATATTTAACTAAACGTAGAAAAATTACCTACAGTCAAACCTCTTTAATACGTACACGCTTCAAGTGTACCAACGGTTAATACGTAGTTGTGACAAATCCCTGACTGAGTCCTATAGAGACTAGTGCATTCATGGACCACTTACGCCGTAGGAATTTCATGTTATGCTGACCCCTTAGTGGTCGCTGCGCACAGCGACCACTGTTTCTGCCATAAACTTTTACTGCGTCGCTGAACTTCCAATGCTGCAAGATGCCCCATTTCGAGAAGTGCGGCGACAGGCCAATCAGTTTTTCAGACATCTGCGAGATTGCGGCAGTGACCTTGCAGGTAATCATCGGGAAAGAATGAAGGCTTGGTGGTGACAACCTACAAACGCGGCAGTATGACTTATTGTCGACAAAAAGCATTTATCGTAATAAGTATCCTCAGCTGTCCACATGGGCACGCATGTGGCGAAGCGTTACTTTCAACCTACTGTATGTTTTTAATAGGAGACTGCCTGAACACTCTCTAAAGACGACGGAAATGACTGCGTCTCCGCTGCTACGCTCTGCACCGAGAAAGGAGGAGCGTCTCCACGTGGAGAGAAGCAGATCGGCATTAGAGAGAGAGTGAACTCTCAACAAAAGCTTTTCTTTTCTCACCAAGAAGGGTCTCTACGTGCAGAGAAGGAAAAGGGAGAAGCGTGGCACAGGCGCATTGCAAATCGGCATTTGAGAGCAAACAACCCGCCACAATCGTTTCTTTCCTTTTCTTCTTTTCCTTCGTCGCGCGCAGTGTTGAGAGGTGCCGCCGCAGGATTGGGCATGGCGCCGAGAGCGTTTTCAGAGCGTAGTATGTTCGAATTAACCGTCGCAAGTGTTTGTGTGTTCGAATTACAAGGCGTTTTCGCCCATCAGAGTACACATAGCTTTGACGGAACCACAGCGTGAGTTCGAATTAACCGGAAGTTCGAATTAGGCGTGTTCAAATGAATGAGATTCGACTGTGTTTATTTTCTGTCGCGCCCGTGGTTGCATAGCAGTACATCGGGCTGCAAGGTGGTTTTCTTCTTTGCATGCTTATAGGTGTGCGCCCATCTTGCCACAAACTGTTATAATCGATAGAACTAAATAATGAATATAAAAAAATAATTGTACCTCCCCTTCAACTTTGTTACAACGAGGTTTGAATGTAAAAAAAATAAAAACCCAAATTTTTAAAGTATGCAGATCGCGGTACGCATGTATCGTGGAGAGCCGATTATGTCCGTTCTGCCGCTGTGTCAGTCGCTGCATATTCCAGACCCCTCTGTTTAGTTTAAAAAGAAATTGCCCGAAATGAGTCAATTCCACATGGTCAGAATATGTGAAAACAGTGAATATATTTTATGAAAAGCAAAAAACACTGCCTATTACACGATATATTTTACATGTCAGCTAGGAGTAGTTTACAGTCACAAGCAATTAAAAAATATAGAGCGAACAAGACCAATATTAGCATAAGTTTGGATTTGGCTCATATTGAAATGACAAATTAAATTCGATGCGACATTTTCGTGAAAACTATTAAAATTGACTTTCAAGAGTAGCATGATAGAGTTTTGGCAGAAAACCAATAAAATAGGCAACAGTGCTTCATTCAAAAGCTTTCAACTATACACAAAGATTCGGCGAATCTTCTCCACAGCATGAGCAGCTCTCTGTAAAATCTGCATGATCATTTTCTCTGGTAGGCCGGAGGACCTTGAAAAAAATAAGGGAGCTTTTCATTTTCTTTACATGAACTGCCAAAATGCTTCAAGAAAAGACTCATCACATCTATCACTTTCAGTTCGTTGACGTGATGAGTGTACAGTGGGAGTTGCACAAGTGTTTGTGCAGGGAACTTTCCCCTCTTTAGGACTGGCAGGAAGCTTGATACGGAAACTGTAGTAGGGTTCAGCTCTAATTTTAGGGCTTCTACCAGCTGCATTTCTTTGAAATTAGAAGACCTTGGTTTTTGTTATCTTAAACGGCAAGCTGGATGTCAATTTCATCTCTGTCATAGAGTAGGCCTTCCAGTCACACACGTCCCAATGTTTCCCGAACTCTAACAATGTGCCATGATTTAAATGATTTGGTAGCCTCAGGAAATCAGGCAGAAAATTTAGGCAGGAACTGGCAAGGAGGCTACCATGCTTGTTCAATTCCATGTCCACGTAAGTGTTCTGCTATTGGCTCACTTAGCTACGTACAGCGCATGAATCTGGCTGAATTTCATTTTGAAACTAAATCTGTAAGCAGACGTAGGTGGTTGTACTGAACCCATTTCGTTCAGATAATTGTTTTAGAGAAACGTTAAGATATATATGTGCCAATGCAGCCTTATCTGAGCTAGTTTCAGTTTCTGGATTTGGCTCATTTCAGTAAAAAAAAAAAACCCTCAAATGCTCCTTGGCGTTGCCATCACGTTCTATTAAACTGTTGTGCGAGAGTGCCAGACTCTTTTCTACACCTCGGGAAAAAAAAAAAGCTTTGTGCTGGGGCAAGGTGTGAGGCAGTGGCGATAGCGAATCAAAGCTGCATCAGCAAGCCATCCATCGCATTAACAAAAAAGAACTAGACTACGTAGTTAATCTCACTGGCATGTGTTTTTTCTATGTAGTTTCTTTGCTTCTAAGCTTTAGTTTGCTTTCCACCCTAGTGCATTGATTGATATGATTATGATGTCATGTGACAGGTATATATTCTTTGTTTTTATAATAAAAGTATAGCTGGAAGTTAGTGATTTGTCCTCATCTCTTTTGTAGATGCGAATTTGCGCTTAGTGGTTAATGCATACAAAATAATGTTAGCGCTCCGCTATGCCGCATTCCTGGGGAGGTATGAATTAAAGTTTCAATGAGTGGCGAGAGAAGAGAAAAAAGAAAGCGTAAAGCAGTAAATGGAGTAAAATATGAGTGGCTCAGGGAATAATCTCTATAGCATGGTATTACTACTTGGAAACAATTGCTATTATTAGATGCGAAAATACAAGTAAGTACAATCGAAGACTGGAAGCCAACTGCATCCAGAAGAATATCATAACCTATTACAAAAGCAACGCTATGGCCGCCGTGTGTTGACACAAAGGTATGGCACACTATGATCGACACGCAAGAAAAAGTGGGTAATTTAAAGGAGTGCTGACACAAAAAATGTTCTTGTTTCTTTTTCTTCTTTTGCAATAAATAGCTAATGACCTACTTATCATGGAAACCTTGTTCACTCAAACATGAAATGGTTAATCATTTGGAGACATTTTTAGAATGCCCAGTTGTAGCTTCAGTGAGCTCAGAGAAAAATAGGACCAGGGTCATTTTGTGAGTGTATGCACGTGTGTGTGTCAGCAAGCTGGCCACCCACGTGACCACATAAAACAGAGATGTGCACTGAATGCAGTAGTGCCTGCATGCACTACTGAAAGTGCCTTGTTGACAGCTGCAACACAGTAACTTCAGCAGAGTTCATATGCAAGGAACATGGCAGCCAATACAAACTAGTGACATGTGTTTTTGTTGGTTGTTTACATTGCAGCCAAGTTGATATCAGTACTGTGAGCTGCTCCATTTTGTTCTCAGTTGTGGGGCATACACTTTAAAATAGACCTTAGATATGTTCTAGCCTACATTTCTTGAGGAAATTTTGCACAGGATATATGTGCATCTACACAAATCTATCTGACAAGTTATTTTGCCTTTGAAATTTTGTGTCAGTGCTCCTTCAAGGAGAGCATGGACAAAAACTGTACGAAGAAAGGCAACTCGATAGGAAACGCAGGCAACCAAACACACGGGGGACCCAGTCGTCACCAACACTGGGAATGACTGTGATCACTACTGACAACAACTGCTGCATCAAGCGAGGTCCACAATGTGCTTGAGCCACTTAAAAAACTTGGAGCAGGCAACCACGGTACTCTACTGGGACACACACAGTTCATGCAAGGTCCACGGTCACCTGGCATCCCATGGGCTAGCAGGAGTGATAACCCAACGTAGCTGCCCAAGACAGGTAGAGTTTGTGTGACGTCCACGAAAATCGGGCATGGGTTCAAGCTGGCTGCCTGGGACAACCACAAGACAGCCCCTGACCTGGGACATGCAGAGCAGTGCCACCACTATTCTAAGCAGTCACAAAGCTTAACGATTCAGCGTTACAGGGTCCTTACAAACACACCTAAGCATCCCTAATTCATGTTATGAAGTTACAATAGTCGAGAACCTGCGTACTAACCTCACTAATTTGATAGAGTCGAGCTTTGCTGGCATCTGAGCAAGCCAACCAGCAATGGTCATGCGACACAGCTGCTGTGTGGTAGGTAGCCCGATTCCGTGCCTTTACTCGGAGGAGCAACTCAGGCATTGAACATATCGTCGAAGTCTGGAAGGGACCTTCTTTATTTGTAGCACAGTCTAGGCGCCACAGCTCCAAATGCTCTCCATAGTTGAGCAGGACACAGCCGCTTGATGCTGCCACTTGTACCGATGAGGACTGTGAGTACCAAATACAATCATTGCTCCATGAAATCAAAAAGAAATTGTAAAAACTTCAACATTATGGCTCACCTGTCTGTCAGACAAAACTGCTGAATGCAAGAAAGCAACATGATTCTGAACACTTTGCCCATCGCAAAGTAAATCAATTTGTCTGTTAAGTAGTTTGCAGTAAGGTTTGTTGCAGGCACTGAGGCATAGTTTGAAGTCATTCAATGACTTTGAGTGAAGAAGCAATGCCTGAGAGCTAACAAGAATAAAGTGTTGCTACCAGCAATGATTTACATTTAGAAAATTCCCCGAAAGACTGCTATAGAAGGGCCACGCTTGCTCACAACCTTTACCATTCGGTATGAATGGCAACATAAAAGATGCTTGTCAATTGTATTTGCTATAATTATTGAAACGCCATGTCCTTACATATAGGTGGACATGAAAGCTTCCAATAGGTTATGATTACAGTCGAACACCTTTGTAAGAGGAACTGGTATACGAGACAAAAGAGACACCAGTGTGCATGCATAAAAACAGGAGCTCATGAGGAAATACATGCATGGTACCCTGCATATAAGAGAAACCTCATGTAAGGGACAAGAATTGCTCCCCAGTGCATGACTCTAATAAAGGGGTCCAACTGTAACCTAGAGTCTCTAATTCTGGCATGCCTCATGATCTTGTAGTGGTTCTAGCAAATAATGGCCCACAATTAGTTTCTGTATGTGTGTTTTCTTCAAAAAGGTGTGAACATGATACTTAAATATTTACACAGTTAAAATCTGAAATGTATTTTATCTTCCACAACAAAACTCTCTGAACAATTATTTCAACGTAAGCCATACTGAATGCTTCATGTACCATTAAAGATATGACAAAAGTTGTGCATACCTGGAGTGGACTATGTGTCACAAGTGATGTCTCTGTTGATGCCGCCAAGAAAGTGTCACACCCTAAACCGTTAAGACAAGAAAAAAAAAAGAATACTATGTTAGGATAGATAACTGATCGAATTTGCATGTTCTCAGGCAAAAGGCACTGAGACAACAGACAAAGAGAAACACACACACACAGGTGACCAAACTTGCAAAGTTGCCACTCCGGAATTGGGAATTATTCCATAATCATTTCACATTTTTACGACCCTGAAATCGAATGGGTATGAATTGAGGACAACGCTTGGAGGAATGGAATTTAAATAAAATAAGGTTTTGTTCTAATAATAGAGCACGTCTTCGTCTACGCGCCGTTTTTCAAACTTCAAACATCAGTAAGTCCGAGACTTAAACTTGACAATAAATCACTATTTTTTAAAATGGCTTAGCTGATTACAAGCATGAAACATACATAAGAAATGCGGCTACTTCCATTCTGTCCTATATGCACATACTTACAGTGTTACTCAGAATTTCGTCTCTATCACGTAATCGTGGTTAAACGGAGGCATACCGCTACCCCCCTCCTTTTACGCTTCGTGATTTTTCTTTTCCCCGCAGTGGCGCCCTAGCCGCCTGCAATCTCCCTACCCTTTACTTTGTTTTTGCTTCTGTCATCGGCAGCGACTCAAACACACACAGTCCAGCCCACTTATAACAATCCCAGATATAACAATTTATCAGTTATAACGACCATACTTCGGTGCACTTACAATTTTCCTATGCTACCCTTTGAAACTGAGTCCACATATAGCGAACATTTTGCAAAGCCTTCTACATTTACAACGACCACTTCCGACACGGTCAGAGTAAAAAAAAAAATATGGCACACATGAAGCGAGAAAAATGTTACAAAAAAAGCATATACTCTATTCACTCGCATAATCCTCGCACTTGCACAATTCTCACACCCGCGAACATAGGCCAACAAAAATGAACTTTTTTTTTTTCCTCGTGCAATTATCGCACCAAAAAAATGGCAGCAGGAAATGTCGTCTGCTACTTTCAGCCAATGATGATAATAGCACCCATTAGCCTAACGCCATCTCCTATGCATTATGCATGCTAGCACGGTGCCCTAATCCAATCCAAACCAAACCAAGTTGTGTAGTAGCACTTGTGGCACGGCGTGCGTGCATAGTGTTAGTCGTGCTGTAGTGTTCTGTGTGTAGCAGCGTCCTGTCTGCAGCTACGTGATGAGCAGATACAGGAGCTATACAGCTGCTTTCAAGCTAAAGGTTATCGACGATGCTCTGGAACACGGAAACAGGGCCACCGGCAGGCAAATTAGTGTGGACAAGTTCTGTGTGTGCTACTGGAAACGGCAGCACGAACAGCTCAAAGCCACAAACAAGTCACCTAAGGCATTCTGTGGGCCTAAGATTGAAAGATACCTACAGGTTGAGGTGGCACTACTAGACTACATCAAGAGTCTCCGCACCGACAGGTGTGCCTTTTCGATCAAGCTACTGAGGAATCAGGCGCGCATAATTGCCCGAAAGGAGGGCATCCCAACGCAAGATTTCCACGGTAGCAACGAGTGGGCCACACGGTTCATGCTTCGAAGTGGACTCTCGCTCAGGAGACGGATGACTCTTTGTCAACGGCTACCTTCGGCATACGAAGATAAGATCATCGATTTTCATTGATATGTCATAAGGATTCGGGAGCAAAAAAACTTCCTGCTCTCACAAATAGAAAATGTGGATCAAACTCCACACAACTTTGACATGCCACCGAGCACAACTGTGGAGCAGAAAGGTGTGTGAAGCGTGCACAATAGAATGATGGATGCGGAGAAGCAGAGGTGCACCTTCATGCTTGCCGTAACAGCGGACGGGCGGAAGCTGCCCACATTTATTATTTTTAAGCGGAAGACCCTTCCGAAGGCCAAGTTTCCCCCAGGAATACACGTACGCGTACAGGAGAAAGGGTGGATAACTTATGAATAACTAGGTAAAAACTGTTTGGGGATGCCACTCTGGAGCACTTCTTCACCCATCGCTGCTGGTCGTCAACAGCTTTCCCAGTCACCTGGTCGACTCTGTTCGGGCGAAGCTAAAGGATCTGCGAACTGACCTCACTGTCATTCCAGGCGGTCTGACATCGATGTTGCAGCCTCTAGACGTATCCTTGAACAAGCTGTTAAAAGATAATGTGCGGATGCTGTATGCAGAATGGATGTCTGAAGGCGACCATGCCATGACTACCAGGGGCAAGATAAAGAAGTCGTCGGTGGAGATCCTTTGTTGGGTAATCTAGGCATGGCCAATGATCTCCCCAGAAATTATAGTCCGCAGCTTCAAAAAGACAGGGATCTGCAACGCCTTGGACGGGACGGAAGACGACGTGATTCACGAAAACGACAAGAGACCATGCTGAAGCTCGCGATGACTCCGATGACGCTGCTATAAGCGACATAGACGGCAGGCTTGACTCGGGCTACGAGTGGTTTGCCCAAGAGACATTTTTGCTAGTGACTTCTGCTATCCAAATAAACCTTGATTTGTGTCAAACATGTGCTTTCATTGTATAGGTAAGCCTTGTATCAGCACTTTTTGAAGCCTGTAGTTGCTGACGGGAAAACGACGATTTGTGGCCGCTTATTTTTTTGTTGTTGCGCTCTACGTTTCCGCGGAAAATTTTCCAAGCTTATTATCGCACCCTCAACTTTCCATCAGTTTTTCGAGAAAAAAAGTGCGAGGATTATGCGAGTAAATACGGTAGGGGACGTTTTCCTGGACCTGCCCATGAAAACGTCCACTAAGGGGACGTTTTCATGGGCAGGTCCATATACGACGAACTACTGATACAACGACCATATATCGCGGCACTTTAGAGTTCATTATAAACAGGTTCGACTGTATCCGAAAAAGCACTTCTCTAAGTTGTGACGCGTGTTGACGCTGACGCAATGCTTGTGTTCCCTGGAAGCTTTCGTACACCAGCTAGCGTGCCTTTTCACCCGATACTCCCCCCCCCCCCCCCCCCCCCCACTTTTTTTTCCCAACACTCTCACCCTTTCCAGACACATGGGAGCCTTTGCCCGAAACTCTGTCGGCGAAAGTCTGTGAGAGACTTCTTTTAAGGTCTGAAGGCTGCAAGCGGCCACTGTTGCTCTAGCCCGGGAGATCAAGCCCTCCTGAGTCACTATGCTGTTTCACACACCATGTGCAACATTGCAGAAGCTAGCGAAACTTCTTGCAGTCGATGCCTTCGCAACAAAAAGTCGTTTCATATTCTTACCACCAATAATTTAATTTTTCTTTTGTTATTACGATGAGAAGAAATTGAAGATATTATGTGCCTTACCAACAAAAACGCCGTTGAACGTCTGTCATTACGTGGCTGTATAGCTTAGTTTTCACGTGACGTCACATGCAGGATTTCTACTCTGGGTATGCCACGATGGCAGCCACCTGAACTTTCAGTGTCAGTGCAGGATAAGACACCACAAGGTCATTCGGTACCCGCATTATTTTGTGCCCTTACCGCTTTCTTTTATTTGCCAGTAGTGCCAAAGGTGAGCACAAAGAAACGAGAGGGTGCACCGGCACTAATAACGCGAGCGACCACGAAACGCGCAGAGTTATTGTATTTACTCGCATAATCCTCGCACTTTTTTTTTTTGGCAGAAAACCAATGCAAAGTTGGGGGGAGGGGTGCGAAAATTACGCGGAGAAATCTTTCCACGAAAACGTGCGGAGCAAAAAAGAAAACAATGTGGCCGCGAATCAGGATTCTCATGCCAGCAACTTACTGCAAGCTTTGAGAAGAACTAATTAAGACTTACTTCAACAATAAAAGCACAGGTTCAACACAAGGCGAGATTTATTTGAGACAAAAAGGTGCAAGTAATTAGTCGAGAATTAGAATACCACATGCAAAGCTTGTGGGCATTGCAGGTGTACCGTTAGCATTCGTCGCTCAACAGGAGCCCGCAAAAGGTTAGCGTACGGCGTCAGTATTGGACTGATGGCCATTCAACATAGAATCGTCCACAGTTGCCTTCTGATGAAATGAAGTTTACTATTCATCCCAGTCTTAGGCACATGAAAGGCCCAATGTGTCTTGGTGGCTTTCAGCTACCTTGACCAGAAGCGAACAAAAAACTCGACTCAGAAGGGCCTACCGGCGGCCCTGTTGCCATTGTTTAATGCATGATCAATCATTTTCAACTTGAAAGCAGCCATGTAGCTTCCATATCGCCCCATAGCGTAACAAAATTACTGTCACAATGTACAAAACACGCCACAACTATAGTGGCTAGAGTTTTACCTAGTGTCGTAAACACATGCCTTTCCCAACCGGATTCTATGCACCGCACTGTGGCGCTTACCGTTGCTGGCGTGTTGGCCAGTAGCGAGCAGTGGTAGCAGAGGGTGACGGCTGGGTGCAGCTGGCGGCAGCACAACAACATCATTGTCTCAGAAATGCTGCCCTAAACATTTACTTCAGCAGGAGATTTTAATGCTTACAAATTTTAATGACTCGAGACCGATGAACGAGAGACTAAACAGAAAAAATTCTATTTTTGCAGCCCATGTGAAAAGACCAAATATGCAGGAGCCAACATATTTTTCGCTGTGTGCACATAATAGCTGTTTTGACCCAGCATTTTCTTAACAATGCAGTTAGAAGCATTTCTTTGAAGCACTCAAACTGCGAAAAAAACGCACTTTGAGTATTTCTCCCAATCAATATATCTCATCCTTGCCTAGATATACTATACGTAGTACATCTGTGTGCTGTAGTTGTCTTCTCTTAACCTAGTATAAACAAAAATTAGCAAATGAGCATGTGAGTGTGTGGTGAACGTGACTGACAGGTCCCGAAATGTATAGCATAATATTCTCGTTCACATCATGGTCCCTTTCCCTCAGTCACGTGTGGCAAATATACCCAGAAAATACGGGCCGTAGAATGCTGATATATATATAGCGTCTCTCATAATCATATAGTGGTTTTGGGACGTTAAACCCCACATATCAATCAATTATGATATATATATATCCGCC